AGACAGGAAAACATTGAAGTTTCGTAGAGAGTTAATAGTTTCAACCTCAGAGATTGTTTTTCTTACTGTTCTCCTCAGGGACATTAGAGTTTGATAATGTTTTATCTACCAAACCATTCTCTCTTTTTTTTTTTGTCCTTATAATACCCAGATTGGTATGACTCTCTGTTATTAACCAAAGCTACATTTATAGCGTAAGCATGACCATGGTGAGAAGATAATTGTTATATGCCCTGAGCTTTCTGTAAACATTTAATCTCCTGATATCCCTTATAGTGGACACATTTCATTACTAACTTCATTTTACAAGTTTAACCCATGCAGTACATCTTAGGGGGAGTTGGTGATTTTTTTTAGGCTTTAAGAAATATTGGCAGGGTATGGTGGCTCACATCTGTTATCCCAGCACTTTGGGGGGCCAAAACGGGAGAATCCTTTGAGCTCAGGGGTTCAAGATCAACCTGGGCAACATAGCCAGACTCCATCTCTAAAAAAATTTAGGCTGGGCATGGTTGCTCACGCCTGTAATCCCTGTACTTTGGGAGGCTGAGCCAGGCAGATCACGAGGTCAGGAGATTGAGACCATCCTGGCTAACAAGGTGAAACCCTGTCTCTACTAAAAATACAAAAAAAATTAGCCGGGCATGGTGGCGGGCGCCTGTAGTCCCAGCTAGTTGGGGGACTGAGGCAGGAGAATGGCGTGAACCCGGGAGGCAGAGGTTACGGTGAGCCGAGATCGCGCCACTGCACTCCAGCCTTGGCGACAGAGCGAGACTCCATCACATACACACACACACAAATTTAAAGACTAGTCAGACTTGGTGGCACATGCCTGTAGTCTCAGCTACTGGGAGGCTGAGGTGGGAGGATCACTTGAGCCTGGGAGGTGAGAAACATTGGCTGGTCTCCTCGCCCCTTCCCAGAGCCACAGCCCCAGGCCCTTGCTTTCTGAGGTGCTGCTTGTCCCAGGGGACTCAACTGCTGATGGTGTGCCCCAGGTGCAGGATATTGCCACCGGAAAGTACACCTGTAAGGGGATGCTGGGGTCTTGGGAAGGAAGGTGACTGTTAACCTATGGAGATCAGCTTACTGTATGAGCATTGGCCAAAATGACCCTGCTGCCCAGCTTCGGCCCAGATCAAGATCTAGAGGCCAGGAAGGAAGTGGGCCTACCTCCCCACTGTGCCATGCAACTGGTCAGATATAAGAGGTGGAGATACGGGCTCCACCCCTCCAGGACCACCAGCAACCAGGGTGTTTGCAGCCTGGTTTTCCACAAGTCTGCCCCACCCCTAAGGCCACACAGCTGAAGCTTTGGCTCTGCTTTCTTGCTTTCATTCCAGGGATGGGCAGGCTGCCATTGGGCCACCTGCTGCCCCTGGCCCCAGACTCTCTGGGTAGGTGGCCATGTGATCCAGCTGGCAGGACCACCCCACCCATTTCAGTGTCCTAATTCTTACTTTGTTATGCCATTGTAGCAATCTGGTGGTAAATATAACCTTTTGACAGAGTTTTTGAACTGCCTGGAACCCAAGATCCTAAACATTTTTTAACCGTATTTGGGTTATCTTTTATTTTGGTTTTTATCCCCAATGGAGAAAAATCAACATGGAAAAAAGTTATTTTAAAATACACGATGAGTGGCAGCAGTGGTGGTAGGGGAAAAAAAGGTTAAAAAATTTTTTTAAATAAAAAATAAAATACAGGATGAAGTGAATTAAAAGATTTGTTTAATGTACTTCAAGGATAATATTTGTGTCTGCAAAATTTGAGAATAAATTGGTCTCGAATTAAAAAAAAAATTTAGAATGTCAAGATCCTAACTTCCAATTTGAGAACAAGTAACATGAGTCTGTGGATTGGGAATGACTTATGTGATCCCAAACCCTCATTTTCACAAAGAAGTAGATGGAGGCCCAGTAGCTTTGAAATTCAAATGAAGCCATGCCTCTGCTGCCTAGTCCAGTGCTGTGCTAACCACTCAGCCTGCCCAGGTACAACTGGGTCTCTGTCCACCGAGCAGGGAGTCCACTGTGATGTATGCATCCTGCCCTCACTGACAGGCCATTGACTACAACTGCAGCCAGCCGATTCTCAACAGCCCTTAGTGTGGTGAGCAGGAGAGCTCGGCGCTTTGAGCCCTCAATTGCCTGGAGAGAAGGTAGAGCTGGCCTTTAATTAAGGACTTTTTTGCTTTTTAGAGGGAGCTTCCGGGGAAGCATAGCACAGCAATAGGGCCACTTTCCTGCCAGAGGGGGTGGGTGCCAAAGGAGGTGGATCTTTTGCTCACTGGTTTACCCTCAACATACCAGGAAGAATAGTCATCCTGATTCACTGTTTGGTTCAGGTTTTTATCACACAGTATTGTGTGATAAGTAACCACTGTTTGGTGGTTACTCTGACTCGGCGTGGTGGCTTATGCCTGTAATTCCAGCACTTTGGGTGGGAGGCCAAGGCGGGTGGATCACCTGAGGTCAGGAGTTCGAGACTAGCCTGACCAACATGGTGAAACCCCGTCTCTACTAAAAATACAAAAATTAGCTAGGCATGGTGGTGCGCACCTGTAATCCCAGCTACTAGGGAGGCTGAGGCGGAAGAATCGCTTGAACCCAGGAGGTGGAGGTTGTGGTGAGCTGAGATTGCGCCACTGCACTCCAGCCTGGGCAACAGAGTGAGACTCCTTCTCAAAACAAACAAACAAACAAAAAACGAAAATCTAATATATCCATATGGTAATGAATGTTTCCTTTTATTTTGTTTTTATTTTTATTTTTTATTTTTGAGATCGAGTCTCACTCTTTGCCCAGGCTGGAGTACAGTGACACAACCTAGGCTCACTGCAACCTCCACCTCCTAGGTTCAAGCAATTCTTCTGCCTCAGTCTCCCCAGTAGCTGGGACTACAGGCATGCACCACCATGCCCAGCTAATTTCTGTATTTTTAGTAGAGATGAGGTTTTGCCTTGTTAGCCAGGCTAGTCTTGAACTCCTAATGTCAGGTGATGCACCCCCCTCGGCCTCCCAAAGTGCTGGGTTTATATTGTTGTTTTATTTTATTTTTTAAATCTTGTTCTTTGGAAGAGCATTAAGAATAGTCATAAAATGACTAGTCTCCATGCTGGGGGAGGCAGCATGGAGAGAGCTGGCTTCAGAGATAGCTGGGCCCAGGTCTGAATCCTGGCTCTGCCGCCACTCTCCAGCCCAATGACTTTAGTCACTTCACCTCACAAGGCTGAGTCTCTGTTTCCTTATTTGTGAGGGGGCAGGTGGGCGGCAGTAGTGCCTGCCTTACACTATTACACGATTTGGTGTAGTCAGTGGGAAGCCTTGTTCCAGGCACTGGAGGACACAGGTGAAACTGACACCTTTCCTGCCTCAAGGGCCATCCTATGGGTGTGTCAGGGGAGACTACACAGGTCACATAAAAGACCTGCCATGTGCCTGGTGATAGAGGAGGGCAACTCTGGGGTTGAGGTTATAAGGTGGGCCTGGGCAGACAAAGCAGGAGAAGGTATGTGCACGAAAGCGCACTGGAGGTACAGTCAGCTTGGGGGAAATGGGGCGCCCTGCCTGGCATGTGGGAAGGGTTCAGTCAGCTATGATGCCCATATGTTTGGGAGGAGTGTGCCCTGGATCTGCCCCTACTTTTTCCCTGGGTGGGCCAGTGATACGGTGCCTTCTTTGCTTTGTCCTGAGCATTCCCCTTGGGGTGGGCACAGGCAGACTCAGTGTCCCCACTCCCCTCCCTCTGCTGCCATTATCAGCTGTGTCCAGATGGTCACAGGCTCCCTAATCTGGGATAATCAGTGGGTCAGAGCTCAGCTGGGACCCGGGCCTTTATGCCTGCTGTGATGGGCCGGCCCCAGCTGGAGAGACCCTGTAGACAGGGCCCTGGGGCTTTGGAAGATGGGGTGGGATGTGGGGCTGGCTCTGTGCTGGAGGGAGATGCAAGAAGCAGATGATCGCTCTTCTTCCAAAGGCAATCTGAGTACAAATGAGGGGGAGCGTGCAGTTGGGGCCTGGCCAGCTCCTCCAGGCCTCACAGCGATACGCACAGAGCCTCACAGAATCTGTCTATTGCATCTTTTGTTCCCTTTCTCTCCCTCTCTGAGCTCACCCCTCCCTACCCAGCAGTTTGTTGCTGCCCCTAGAGCCCCAGGCTTATGACATCAGGGGCTTGTCCCCCATTGACGTTGGACACCTAACAGGTTCAGGTGCAGAGCCAGGGTGACTGACTTCTCAGGGGCCCATGGCTATGGTGCCCCCACCCTGGGCCTGCAGTTTGCTGTGAGCCTCCACTCCGTGGTTGTTCAGGGATCCATAACTGTTTTTGTTTTGTTTCAGCCTCTTCCATGAATTGGGGGGGGGGGGCCCTGCTTGTCTCTGGCTCCTAGCAGTGAGTGCTGATAATCTCAAATTTAAGGATGGTAACTTCGTCTCGGAGGAGCGTGGGAAAGGATGTGTTTGGGAACAGACACAGGCCTACAGAGCTGTTTGTAACCATCTCTTTCTAAGTGGTGGGAAACAGACATTTTATTATTCTTTAACTGTTTATATATATAGTGTGTTTTTTATGCATGAAATATAGTTTTTTAAAATGCTCACACTACTATTTTGAAAGTAAATGAGGTAATGTATGTGTCAAAACCTAATACCCAAAGCGATCATAGTAAGAGGTGGGGCCTTTGGGAAGGCATTAAATTGCTTAGGGAATGAGGGTGGAACCCTCATGAATGGGATTAGAGCCTTGTAGAAGAGGTCGGAAGGAGCTGCCTGGCCTCCCTCTCACATGTGGAGACTCAGCAAGAAAATATTATTTAGGAAGCAGAGAGCCCTCACCAAACACCAGATCTGCTGGCCACTTGATCTTGCACTTCCCAGCCTTGAGAAGTATGAGAGATAAATTTCTGTTGTCTATAAATCACCCAGTCTAAGGTGTTTTGTGATAGTAGCCCAAACAGATATAAAAGTGCTTCATCAAGAGTAAACACAGGGAGCAAATATTGGACATTCCATCTCAGTCAGGGGAGACTGCAGCTGGAACACAGACCCAACAAGGTTTTATTTCTACAAGAAAAGAGACCGTTAAGTGAAGGGCTGTTTGTGTGGAGGTGCCACGAGGGAGCAGAGTGTGCGCCTGAGCTCCGCGTGCCTCTCCGCCTCCTGGCTCAGGCTGTCCAAATCTGAGTCACCTGCCCAAGCTCTGGATGATGGTGACACAGCCGTGGGAGCTGGTGCAGCGCTGCAGGGATGGCTGGGCCTCCACCTGCCCACTGCTGGGGTCAAAGGTGAAGACCTTATCGGTGCTTTCTCCGTGATCATCCCGCCCACCAAGGATGTGGACCTTCCCGTCACACACAGTGACTCCACAGCTTTCCTGAGTGGACAAACAGAAAGACAATTAACTATCAGGTTCAGCCTGGGGCTCCTTCTGTCCCTGCCTGGCCAGGCCAGATAATAGGACCTTGACCCACAGACTGTGAACAGGCAATCTGGATTGTAGAGAGGCAGGAAACTGGATGGATCTGAGTTCCAGCTCTAGCTTGATCCTTATTCAGTGAATGGCCTTAGGCAAGTCGCTTAACCTCTTTGGACCTCAGTTTCCTCATCTGCAAAGGGAGAAGAACCAGAGTGCCTTCTTCACAGGGTTCCCTTAACAGTTAATGGAAGTTAAGCATGTAAAGCATTTTATATAGAGCCTGGAATATGGTAAGCACGCCAATAACAATAATCTCGACTGCCGCCATCTTAGAATCGCAGACTCAGGGAAACCTGAATTCTCACCACTTAAGGTCACCAAAGGTCAGAACTGGCAGAGACCACCAGTCCAACCATACCTGTGTAATCTCTGGAGTTTCAGGGGATGGAGACGAAGGTAGGGGAGGCAAGGAACTGCAGGGGCCAGAGCTTCCAAGACTTGGGCCTCCCTGCTGTGATATCACTAGAGCAGAACTTAGCAACTCCCTTCCCCACCTCTTACCCCATGATTGGTTACTAGCAGTGGCCTTTAGGGCAGGAGAGACCACAGGGTCATTTGGACCAAATCCCCACTCAAAGCTATAGCACTTAGGACTGCAGGGTTCTAGACTCTGCCTTAACAGGGCCTAGTTGGCCTGGGCCAGGTGCTGAACCTCTCTAAGGCCAGTCTTCTCATCTGTGAAATGCATGGTTCACTATCACTGTGAGGACAAAGCTAGAGAGCGATGTATAATAAAACCACCTAGCGTGGAGTCACACAAGATTCACAAGCTCTAAGATCCAGAGCCTTAGAAGTGGGTTCCACTCTCCTACCTTGAAGCCTCCACTTACCACAGGACTGGGGAGGACAGCTGCTTCCCCCCACACATCTGTGCCTGGATCATAGGTGAAGATTTTGCTCATGAGACCCCCCATGACATAGATGGTGTCCTCAAAGGAGATGGCCTCGAGACACCGCTGTGAGAAGGGTGCTGGTGACCGCAGGCTCCACCGGTCCTCCTTGGGGTCAAAGCACTGCACCTGAGGGGCAAGAGGAGCAGCGGTGATGAAGACTCACTGCCCCATCCCAAATGCCCCACTGCCCACATGCTGCCACCTGTCTCCCTGGGGGCACTCATTCAAAACGATGACACCTGGCCCGAGCAAGAATCTGGGAGGGAGGGGGAGATCCACTGTCCCTGTCCTCAAGGGCTCTTCATCTAGTTATATGTTCTGTCCTCTGCTTCTGGACTTCCTTTGTCAAAAGCCTCCCCATCTTTCAAGGTCCTGCTCAAATGCCACCCCATCCTTAAAGGCTTCCCTGGTGTTCCCCCTCCCCACCCCCCAAAACACACACACAGGAACAGTCTCTCCTTTGATGGAGAACACAGTCGCCTCATGTAAGATTAATCATAGAGCACATCATACCGAGCGAGAAGAGGTACCGTCTGCTTTAGGGTTATAGAGGGTTCTCATAGCAGATCCCCCATAGGGATGTGTTCCTGGCTGCATACACTGTCAACTCCCTTTTTTCCTGGTGCTCTCAGGTCATACAATTCCAGCTGAGGTGTCTTGCAGCCCTGTTTCTACAGCTGTCCACATGCCCATGGGTGTTTCTGATGCCCTTAACAGTTTCTGTACTTAGCTGCCTGCTCACCTCACTCTCTGTTTCCTCAACTGTTTCCTTGGAGACCCCCACCTTCCACCACAGCAGCCTATAACAAATCAGTGCTGCATGGATGGTGTTAAATGGGGCCTCCTACCATGAGTGCCCATCACTCAGCTCCAGGAGGGTTTGCTGAAAGAATGTGGTCAGGGAATAAGGAAGGGTGGGCACCCAAATTTGGGAAAGAGTCAAGTCCCAGGACCACAGGCTTATGAGGCCATCAGGGGAGGGAAGGAACTGCTATGATAAATATTTTTATTTGCAAAAAGCCTAAATGTCCAACAATAAAAGATGAGTAGACTCTAGTTCATCCACCAAGTGGAATAGTACAGGCATTGAAATGATGGCTGTAAAGTTGCTAATCACGTGGAAAGTGCTTATACCTAAATTAGAATAAAATGCAGAATGCAAAATTCTAACAGTGAGAAAACAGAACTATAAGAAAAACAAAAATCAATTCAGTGGAAGCCTGTAAGGCAATGCACCAAAATATAAATCGCAGCTCTGCCTGGATGGTGGGATTATGGGATTTTTTTTTCTATTTTTCTGTTTTCTAAATTTTCAGTAATGTATTATTTTTGGAATGTAACAAAAGCATTTTAACTATCTTGCCCTCAATTTTTAAAATGTATGAAACTTATGTGGTGCCAGCCCATACATTTGAGTCCTAGTGTGCTGCTGACCCACTGTGACCTTGGGGTCATTTTTATGCTCATTTCCTTCCCTGAAACATGGAGGTGACTGGTCTGGGCTGTTGATGGGATTAAGTGAAGAAATAGACAAGGGCACGGAAACGCCCAGCTCTGCGCCTGGCACACAGTGGTCGCCGCAGCCTTCAACGCCCTCTTGCGCCCGAGGCCCACGCCCACCTTGTCCGTGTTGACACCGCCCTGCCTGGCGCCCCCGATCACGAAGAGCTGGCCCGCGCAGGATGCCACCGCCGCTGAGCTCACGGCCTCCGGGAGGGGCGCGGCGGCCGCCCAGGTGTTGGAGAAGGGGTCATAGCGCTCCACGCTGTGCAAGCGCCTCAGGCCGTCGAAACCACCCACCGCGAACAGCTGCAAGTGAGGACATGGGCCGGGGAGCCGGGTGCCAGGGCCTTAGGCCCCTCGGCCTCACCGCTTCAGTTTTACAGTCTTTGAGCTGCAAATTTTCCCTGTCCCCAACCCAGCTTCAAGACCAAACTGACCCCAGAGCCCAGTGCTCCACCCAGTTGCTGTACCTCCCTGAACTGGTTTCCTCTCATTTAGGGGGGATAATGCGACCTGTCTTTAGGATGGGTACTGAATGCGGGTTACAGCTGTAAAACACCTGGCACCAAGCTGATGCTTAATAATAATAGCTAGGCCGGGCGCAGTGGCTCATGCCTGTAATCCCAGCCCTGTGGAAGGCCGAGGCGGGCAGATCACGAGGTCAGGAGATAGAGACCATCCTGGCTAACACGGTGAAACCCCGTCTCTACCAAAAATACAAGAAAAATTAGCCGGCCTGGTGGTGGGTGCCTGTAGTCCTAGCTACTCTGAAGGCTGAGGCAGAAGAGTGGCGTGAACCTGGGAGGCGGAGCTTGCAGTGAGCCAAGATTGCACCACTGCATTCCAGCCTGGGCCACAGAGAGAGACTCCGTCTCAGAAAAAATTAAAAAAAAAAAAAATAATAATAATAGCTATATAGCTAGTTTTGAGACTTTACCACCCCACTTAATTGATTCTAAGAAGCATTTTTGTTTCTGAATTCGGGATGTAGCTTACGAAGAGAGTTGAGAGATTCTTTTTTTTTGATACGGAGTCTCGTCTCCCAGGCTGGAGTGCAGTAGCATGATCTCGGCTCACTGCAAGCTCTGCCTTCTGGGTTCACGCCATTCTCCTGCCTCAGCCTCCTGAGTAGCTGGGACTACAGGCATCTGCCACCACGCCCGGCTAATTTTTTGTAGTTTTAGTACAGACGGGGTTTCACCGTGTTAACCAGGATGGTCTCGATCTCCTGACCTGTGATCCGCCCACCTCAGCCTCCCAAAGTGCTGGGATTACAGGTGTGAGCCACCGTGCCCGGCCGACAGATTCTTTTAGTCTTGAGTGGCACAATCAAGATTCAAACCTAGACTAGATTGTATGGCCCCAGAGCCCACACCCTTGACCATCAGGCTGTTACTATTACAGTAATTGCTATTATTATTAACATCAGCCATTATTATGTTACCTTGGACAAGTCTCTTTTTTGGGGGGCCTCAGACCCCTTCTTACAAAGAGGGTTTTAGATAACCTCCCTCCAGGACATCCACAGATCTGTACCTTGGGTCCCAGGGCAGCCGCTGCAGCTTGTGCCTACCTGCCCCTGCACAACTGCCATCTTGTGCCTCCACCTGCCCTTGTGCAGAGAGGCTACCTTGATCCAGGTGTGCAGATGGGAGCTAAACATCCACACATCATGACTGTTGATGTGGCCTCCTAGGGAGAGAGAAGCAGCTGTTGCCCACAGGCTCTCTTGCTATCCCAAGTACCCGCAAAGAGCTAGAAACTAGGGCCCCCAGATCCAAAGGAAAGGTTAAGGGAAGGCAGCAAGAGGACTTCTTGAGCTGGTGTAAGACTCTGGGCCTGTGACCCAGACAGCGTGCTTTGAATAAGTGGTGAGAATGTCTTGAGTTATGACCCTTGAGGGGAGAAGCCTGACAGATTCAGGAAGAAGTGGCTGGTTTTCACTGGGCGCCTTATGGTGGTGCTGGTGGTGTGCCAGGCTCTGTGCTCAGGGAAGCAAAGAGGGGGCCGCTGTACGAAAGGTAAGAGTACAAAGGGTACCCAAGGCAAGCATCTGGAATGTACTAGGGACCCAGGAAAAGTAGAGTCAGCTGCACTAGGAGCCAGGAGGGGTAGAGGGTGACCCAATAACCCTCCCTCCCACCTTCACCCGCACAATTTCATTTCTGATCTCATCCCTCCATGAGGTGTTGGGAATATTATACCCAGTTTACATATAAGAAACTCAGATGAGGCTTAGAGACCAACAATGACCTGCTGAAGACTACATGGCCTTTTGTCAGAGTCAGAACCAGAGCTTCTGGCTCCAGGGCCAGCACTGGTGCTGCTGGAGGACATGGTATGCCCTATGGGGCCAGGCACTGGGGACGCAGGATGTGGGCTCTCCCTTCCCATGTCTGGCCACCCTGGGGATCTCGGCCGGGGATTCACCTCTCAATGGGAGCCTCTTTGGGGACAACCCTAACTGCACCCTTCAGCCTGAGCCTGTGACCAGAGCCACATCTGTTTGGTAGCCCCCATCTTTGTTTATTCCTAGTGGCACCCAACAGAGGCCCCACATGTTGCTCAGAACCATCAATGGCCTTGGATAAATTGTCCAGTGGTAATCTGTGGCCTGGATGATCTGTGAGGCCTCCCTGGCTTATTCTCCTGCTCCTTACCCTTTGCAGGCACCCATAGTTCTTTACAACGTTAAGGTCAATCCACCTAGCCCCAGACTCAAAGCCTCCGTGATCTGACTCCTGCCTCACCTGTGTTACTCAACCTGCACTTCAGAGCCCTGAGTCCCCAGTGTTCCTTTCTGCATGTCCCTGCCCTTGTGCCTTTGCATATACTGTTCCCTCCAACTTTCAAGGTCCAACTGAAAAATCATCTCTTCTATGAACCCTGGCTAGATTCCCTGAGTGGCATTCCAGATCATCTGGGGACTCTGAGAATTCCGATCACATTCTGCCTGGCGGTAAAAGTGAAGTCTCTCTCTCCTCTCCAGGACACTCCAGGGGAGCAAAGACTGTGTTTTATGCTTCTCTGAGTCTTCAAGGGCCTGAGCCTCAGGGAGGACACAGTTTGTTGCTATCAAACAGATGTGTGTTCCTCCTAGCTTTGCCATTTTTGAGACAATGGGGGAAATTCTGAGCCTCTCTGATCCTTTCTTATCTGTAAAACAGCATTGTAGGGGGATTTAATGATAACGAATGTAAGCTTCTTAGCATAATAATGTTCGGCACATAGTAGGCTAGATGAAGTGATTATTAATACTAATACGAATTGAATTCCCTAGGAAACCTGCTCAGAACAAAAAGTAATCATATGAATTGAAGTTAACACTGCTGAATAACTGGGGGGGGGGGTCACACCCGTAGTTAGCTCTGCTCACTTCAGCCAATAACTGTAGGTTATCAGAAAACATCCCACCCCCCCTCCCAATTGGAGGAAAAAGCAAAGGGGGCGGAACGCGGAGGCTATTAGCCAATCCCGTGTGAGCTCCCGTTGCAGCTCCGCCCTCACCGGAGACGTAGACGTCATTGCGGAGAGCACAGGCGGCGAATTCTGAGCGAGTGTAGCCGGGCAGGCTGGGCAGTGGGGTCCACCGCTGGCTCTCTGGGTGGTAGGCATCGGCGAAGGGCAGCTTCAGGAGACCTTTGCGGTCGCAACCGCCGATGACTACGATCACTTCAGCTAGGTCCATGAATCTGGCGTGCGGATAAGCCCACTGCCTGTTGGGCCGCACCCAAGTTCGGCCCTCTCTTACCCTCTCGTCCCTTTCATGAGCTTTTGCCATCACCCCCGCCCACCCGACCCCCCGGCCCCACTCCCGCTAGACTCTGCCACTTCCAACTTTCCCTGTGGGTATTGGGAAGAGAATCGCTCATTTTTACCGCATTCTGCTGACCTCTAAACTACAGAAAAAAAAAAAAAACAATCTTTACAGAGCCCCTGCCCTCACCTAGAAAAATAACCTCGTTTAATCCGTATGGCAATTATATTAGTAGGGATTATTACCGCTTTCACACGGAGGAAACTGAGGCTCACATACCATGGCGTGCTCAAAGTCATGCAGCCATTAAGCGTCATGACGAGCTGGAATTCAAGCCCAGGTTTGTCTGTCGCTAACTCATCTTCAACACTCTTTTCTCACCTCCAACCGCTGATTCTGCTGCCTCCCTCCTCCTATGACATCCCCTTATCCCTAATTCCATTAAGCCGGATAACTCGCCCTTTCAGCCAATCATTCTTTCCTCTCATTGACGCCTCAAGCATCTGACCCCACCAGAATTACCATACCCTTTAGCCACCGGTTTTCTAATTCCTTTGGCACATATTTGAGGATCTCTGTCCCAGGCCCTGTGCTTCGTGTTAGAGATAGTGTAGTCTCTGGGGGCATGATTAAGGGCTACTCTGCTCAGAGCCTCTCAGTCTGGCTTTCCAGGGGTGGGGCAGTCCGCTTTCACCCTTTCCCCATGCTCCTGCCTATTTCTATCCCTCATTAGACTGCGAGCTCCCAGAGGGCAAACAGTGTTTTCAAATCACTTCCACACCCAGGCACCTTGCACAGAACTTGCGTAGAGTAGTAAGTACTCGGAATTACGGTTGCATGGGCGAAAGAAACAGTGTGCGCAGGGGTGGGGTCTCTGCGTCTCCCTCACTGGCTTGTTAACTCTTCAAGGGCAGAATTATGGGCACCGAGCCTCTAAAATGTTTAACGAATGTCTGTCTGCATATCATCAAGAGGCAGTACTAAAGGAGGATGAAGGAATGAATGGGCGGTGGAAGAAGGTGGGAAGAACGGAGGGCGGGAGGCTAGGGGACGGCGGCCGTACCTCCGCGGCCGGGTCCGCAGCGCACCGGCCTCGCGGCCCAGGATGAAGCAGGTGCGGGCCTCCAGCAGCAGCGGGCGGCACTCGCCGCAGGCCTGCAGCAACTCGTCCGCCTCCACCTTCTCCAGGAAGTAGGCGGGCGACAGTAGCGGCAGGCGCACGTGCTCCAGCAGGCGTCGCAGCTGCCCGCGGCGGGCCGGCGCGTCGTGGCGCACCCAGCGCATGGCCGCCTCAAACACGGCCTCCTCGCGCGCCACGCCCAGCGCAGGGTCCGCCAGCAGCGCCGCCACCTCGTCGGGCGCCAGCTCCAGGAAGTCGGCGTGGCGCGCCACCTCGGCGAAGGCCTGGCGCAGGACGCGGCCGCAGCGCTCGGCCAGCGGAGCCAGCGAGAAGGCGACGGCCAGGCGGCGCAGCGCTAGGCTGTTGGCGGCGCGCAGGCTGCCCTCGAGGAAGCGCACGCAGGCCTCACGCAGGCCCTCCACGCCCAGCCGCTCCGCCAGCGCTAGCACTGCCGCCGCCTCGTCCTCCTCGCGCAGCCGCACGCCCGCTCCGTACACGTAGTCGAGCACCACGGCCAGCGCCGCCGCCGCCCCGGCCGGGCTTGTGCCTGGCGCCTCGGCAGCCACCGGCACCACTGCCGGGCCGCGCTCGGGCCGCCCGGCCGCGAACAAGCTGTGGAAGTAGGCGCTGGCCGCGCTGAGCGCCGCGCGGTGGCATGGAAAGTCGCGGCCGCCGGCGCGCAGCACCACGTCGGTGAGGGTACCGCTCCGCCGGTACGTGTTCAGGGTCTGCAGCACGCGCTGCGCGTGGCACCGGCCCGCGCACGGCGCCTCGCAGCCCGGATCCGACTCCTCCAGCCCAGGGCCTTGCCGCATCCTGCTGGGGAGAGAACACAAACAGCATCGGGGAAGTCACCTGGCTGCGCCTGGGAGAGGCGACCGCCCTCATTCGTTTATTTCCTCTCTTGACCACTTGTTAAGCGACTGTCCCCTCCGTTCAGGTTCCTTATGGCTACAGTGCCTCAGCCCCGCCTCACCAGCACGACATTCTGCCCTGCCTACCCACTCAGACACTCAGTGCCCCTTTCGGTTCTTCAAACTCGCTGAGCGTTTTCCTGTCGATATCTGCAGAAGACAGATGGCACGCTCTCAAATAGGATAATCGGAGGAGGGTCTAATAAAGGAACTATTTTCAACAGCGGAGTCGGCGTTAGGGACTCCGGCCGGAGGAGGGCTGTTCCCCGGGCTACTAACAGCAAGGCGCCTTGGCCGCCCCGGGGTCTGAAGCGGGGGAGCAGGGATGTTACTGGAACCTGGAAATGTATCTGTGTAAGGAGGGTCCCGTGACAGGAGTTGAAGCCCTGGGTCAAGGGACTAAGGCCGCCCCACAGAGACCCAGTGTGTGCGTGTGCAGGAGAGAGAGGGTACAATAACTCGACCGTCCTCTGCTCAATCCTGCCTGTCTCCTGCCGATCTGCGGTAGGTGCTGAGCACTGACCATACCCTGAGCAGTCCCCTGATAGACAGCATCATACACACAGCATTCGCGCAAACAGATTCGACAAGTATTTATTGGGAGCCTTTTCTGTGCCAGGCAGTGAGCAAGACAACCATAGTTTCAGTGTGCCCGGAGGTCAGAGTCTGGCGGCGGTGCCATGGGGAGGCACCGGGTGTTAGGGGAGTTCATAGAAGGGGCGCTGGACCCAGGTGGAGGGGAGTCAGGGAGGGCGTCCTTGAGGGGAACCTTCCAGCTGAGAAGGATGGGCGAATTCTCAGAGGGTGAAAGGTTAGAGCCCAGGCTGAGGGAAGCTGGCCCTCTCTCTGGTGAGTTCTCTTGGTGTTCTCCAGGTAGCACCGTCTGGAAGTGGAAAGAACTCTAGGGACAAACTAACCCAGTCCCTGCCACTGGCTCACGGTGTGGCCGGGGGCAAGTCACTCCTCTCACCTGCCGGTCCTGGCCTCAGTTATCTCATCTGAAATGGGATCCCTACCTCACAGGGCTGTGGCTTCATGACTATTACATGGGCTTTATGAAAAGTGCTGGTACACAGTACGAGCTACATGGGTGTTTCCCTGTATTGTTTTTACTCGAGAGGAAGGGAGGACACTGTGTGTGCCAGTTACTTTTATAGACATAATTTAATTTCATCCTCACAACCTGAGAAGTTTCTTTAGCCCACCCCTGCCCCTTTAGTTTGTCATAAGGGAAACAAGCACACACAGGACACCTGCCCTTCAGAGGTTTGCGGCGAGGCTCAGCAGAGGGGTATTTGTGAAGGCGCTCTGCAGACTGAGGGGCTGGGCCATGCTGGTTATGATTAGGCCATTATGAACACACAGCCTCTACTTGCACACCTCCAGGGACAGGGAGTTCCCTCCTTTCCATCAGCTTACTCTAGGGGGCTCAGGTCCACCCTCTGCGCCCTGCCTCTCCTTCCATCCTCCCGCTCCCAGCTGCTCTGCTGCTTCTGGAGGTCAGATCCTGCCCAGCGTTAGTCTGGCTTTCATGCCCTGGTCATTCCGGGCCATAGATCCCCTGGTCAGCATCGAGAGAAATGAACTCCCTGGTGGGCAAGAAAGTTAACTACTTTTGCCCAAGTGGAGAGACTGGATCCTGAATCCACCTGGCTCCAGGGTTTGCATGCCACACTTGGCAGGGTGGGGGTGTGTCCCAAGGAGCAGCCAGGAGGTGGAAGGAAGTGAGACCGGTCATCACAGCACACTGCAACCAGTCTGTCCTCCACTAGCCCAGAAAGCAACTACACTCTGAGTTGAAACCCAAGAGGGCCGGTCTCATTAGCATAAGGATGGACTTCTTGCAAAGGTGTCCCACAGCACAAGCAGCTCCCTGGGGGAGAAAGAGTTCCCTCCTAGGAAGTGTGTCAGTACTTTTTCATTTTACTATCTACTGCACTGGGCGCTCTGGACACACAGTGACATCAGATCCAGCATTCACTCTGGGATCCCCAGTCTGGGGGCCGAAGGACACCCAGTTGGAACACGGAAGGTAAAAATTCCCAGGTAGGGCTCAATGAGTATCCTCCCTTCTCCGCTGAGTCTAGGCACTTCAAGCCATGGGTCATGATGCAGACTGAAGGGCCCAGCCTGTGGAAGCTGACTCGAACATGCCACCATCACTCTTTTTTACACCCACATCCACTTGAAGCCATTACCCAAGCACCTCCTCCGCATCCTCCCCATCTCAGACTTGTGGACACCACGCAGCTGGGGTAGCCCTGCAGCCTAAGCCTTGCCCCATGCACCTGGCGCTTACCTGGCCACACCCTCTCCCAAGTGCTCCGCAGCTGCTGCTCTCACAGGTATCACTCCTGTCTGTGCCTGCTGCCCGCACCCCTGGCAGCCCAAGCTCCAATGTTCGTGCTGCTCTGCCCAGACCCCCGTTCGCTGTTTCCTCGGGCTCAGCTGCGGGAGGACAAAGGGGCTGGACGCCAGGAGGGAGGGGGAGGGAGAGGAAGGGAGAAGCGAGTGGGGAGGGGATGCTGGGCTTTTGTTCTACTCTTGGACTAGCCCTGGGAGGGAGGGAAAGAAAGAAGGGGCGTAAGAGTGGATTGACTGTGTGCAACTCCAGGGTTTGGATTTGGATTCGTGCCTGGGGTTGGGGGTGACCTGGTACCGGCCTTGTCCCTGAATGAGGACAAGGGTTTGAAGGTGTATGGTGCTGGAGTTGGGGTGTGGGAGGGGTGTCATCGTGCAGTTGTGGGCATGTAGGTTCCAGGGTGACTATGCATGATTGTGGAAGTACATGGAATGCGGTGACTGTGTAGCACTGGGCTGCGTGTGGACATGTGGCTGTGTGACCATGTAGATGCCAATGTGACTAAGCATGTGTGGGGCAGGGGGCACAGTGGCTCTGAGTCTCACTCCCTTGAGTCCAGGGAGAGGCGGGAGCTGACCTCTGCCCCAAGAAGAGGAGCACTTGCCAGACATTCAGTAGCAGGGGCAGGAGGGCCGCTCCTCGAGGCTACTGTGGGGGCCCAGTGGAGCTTCCAACATTTGCATGCCAGAATCTCCTAGACCCCAAGAATTCTATCCAGAAGATTCCTGTTTGGAAGACACACGTCCCTTGGCTCCCAGGAAGCATGGAGTTAATTTGATGCAGGCTGGAGCTGGGGCTCAGCTTCCCCCTTTTCCCTCAGGACACACCCATGACCGGGCAGACTCTCAGAACAAAGAGGGGAGTTACAGGCCTGCTCTGACGCCACCACTGACTCCTGCTCACAGACAGCAGAGGTCCCAAGGACTGGAAGGAAAGGACACCTGTGGTCCCAGGGCTGTACTTTGGATTTCAGCCCAGGTGCCCCCACTCCTGGGCATGGGCATGCGCCCTCCTCAGGCAGGTCCAAAGCTCGGAGAAGTCAAAGCCAAACTCCTCACATGGGGAAGAGGCCTCCCTGTGCTGAAGGCCTGTCCCAACACAGCCGGGAGGCTCAGAATGCCTTCGTGTGGCTGTGAGGGCACCTGCCAGTCCCACTCCCAGCCCCACATTGGACCCAGGAGCCCTCCCGCTCTGTGTGTCATTCCTAGCTTACGGGAGACATAACATATGCGCTGGGGTCAGACTCTGGGTGGGATTCTGGCTTGGCCTGTTCTAAGCTGTGTGGCCTTTGGAGGTCACTTTTACCTCTCCAAGACTGTCTCCCCATCCACCATGTGAGGATACCGGCTCCCAGCCACTGGCACTGTGGTGGACCCAGAGAAGGGGAGGCACCATCCTGCCGCTTTCCCATTCATTCCTGAGAATGGTTCCTCCTCAAATCATAGGGTCAGAACTGAAACCTAGACCCAGTGCACTTGTCCCCACCCTCCTGCTGGCAATTCAGAGACAACACACATCAAGATGGCAGCTTTAATCACATTGGCCGAGCCCCTTGGGTTCCCTCTGTGCAGGCCTACTTAGCCACACACCCACCCTGACCATGTCCAGAACACTTTTACCAGGTGGGCCCTGCCCTGTGGCCACTGATGTGGGAACCTGAGGTTAAATCAGTCTGTGGACTCCTGGGTTAGGGGACTCTTCTGCCCTGAGGTCTGCTGGACACTTCGGCATAGGATCCAGTAGCCCTGAGCTCACTCTTCTGGCCATCTCCAGCTGCTCCTAGGGAATGTGGCTCAGGTCTGCTCCGGGGACAGGGGGTTGGTGGTGGCATGAGGTGGACTGGGGAGGAGGACGTGTCTCCACACTGCAGCTGGCTTCCTCCTGGGCCGAACCTCCTTGTGCTTTGAGACTGACAGGAAGAGCAGAGTTGCTTCGGGTAGAGGCCCGGCCCAGGCCCTTGGGGCAGGATAAAAACAGAGAATTCAAGTGCCTCGGGGCACAGATAGGAGGACAGACGGCACAGGTGAGCATCCGCACCCCTCCATTGCCACAGGGGGCATGGCATGGCCCATGACCCATCAAAACTTCCAAGTCAGGATATAGGAGAGGGCCTCAGAAGAGGGGCCCAAGCCCTAGGCCCCACACCACCCAGAAGGAGCCCCAGGCCTGCAGGGGCATCTGAGAGGCTGGAGTCCTGGTCCAGCTGGGCCTCAGGGGGACACGGGAGTCCCCCTCAAGAGAGGCTGCGGCTGACAAGGGGCTGGAGCCCACAAGGAGGCTGTGGAGCCAGCTTCCAGAGCACTCCGAGTTCAGACACGCTTCCATCAGCTCTCCTAGGCTCCCCTGGCTTCTGTGTCAGGTACAGGTGGGACAGACATGTCTTCAGCTAACGCCCACTCCGCTCTGTGAGGGTCTTGGCGCGGCTGCCACCCCCTCGGGGGCCCACAGGGGTGGCGGTGCTGTTGGCATATGTGTCATAACTGTTGTCTGAACATACGGAGAGCACATCGGAGACCTCTACACCATCGCTGATTTCTGCTGGGCCAGAGGGAGACAGAATGTGAGTCGGGGAGGAGGCAGTCATAAGGATGGGTGACAGATGGGGCGGGAAGGCTGTACCACCCAGCTGGGCACTTGGAGGCTGATGAAACCACTGGCCTCAGGTCGACACTGAGCCTGGCACTCAAGGCCCCTTTGGTATCTGCCGAGCACTCTAGCTTCACCTTCATCTGCTGTCCCCTGGGACTTCACTTTGCAGTCACAGAAAACCACCTGTGTCCCTGAGCTTGGCACCCATGTGTCCACTCTCCTCAGGGCCTTTGCGTGTGTTGGCCCCTCTCTTAGGAGTGGCTGCCCCAACACCACCTCCTTTTCCTACAGTCTGGCTCAAGTCTTCTCATCTGTCACTCAGCCTCCTGGGAGCCTCATCAGAGCCCTGGGCCGGGTTGGGGCCTCCTCATGGCAACCCCAGCCCCTGCTTCCCTCTGCCCTGGCCACATTCTGTATGGTTGCTGCCTGGGCCCCCAAAACACCTCAAGGACCAGGGTGGGTTCTGGGCATCTATGTCTCCAGGGCCTGGTAGAGTGCTGGGCACGGATCTGAGGCTCAAGAAAGCTCTGCTGAGCGGAGTTCGGCCCAATAGAGGGACACTTCATTCTTGGTGCCCAGGCAAGCAGTGCTCCCTTGCCACCTCTGCGCACATGCCGTGCCCACCTGGAATGCCCTTCCTTCCCTCAGCTCGCTTGGCCCTCAACTTGAAGCCATTACCCAGGCACCTCCTCTGCATCCTCCCCATCTCAGTGTATCAGGCACCCAAAGCATTCCTCACTGCCCAGGCAGCTCTGACCTTGCCCTCCCCCACAGCACTCCCATCGCAGGAACTCGACTTTCCATGCCTCTGTTTACGTAGCTGCTGCTTCCATCAGACTGGGAATGTTGATAGGGACTGGCAAAGAGCAAGGGTGAGGCCAATATTGTAGGATCCAAGTATGAATCAGGCAAAGGGGGACGGGCCTTCAAAACAGACTCCTCTCCCTACCCCACCCCTGCCCACCAACCATGGCACTGACACCGAGCCATGGTGGATGACAGAGTGGATGACTGTGTGTGGGGGTGTGTGTTTTCACACATGTACTTATGCCTTTGTATGTGTGTGGGTATAATCCCGGTGGGTTTATGTATATCTGTGCCCTTGTCCCTACCCGTATGTGCCGCACGTGAATGTGTGCGCATACACATCTGTTTGCATGTGGGGGTGCAGAAAGCTGGGCCCAGGGCCTGCCTCCACCTGTCTGCAGGGCTGTGTACCTGAGAAAATGAGCTTCTCCTTCATGATGCTGACGTCCCGGCTGGTCCGGCGCACTGCAGCGCTCAGCATGATCTGCTCAGGGTTGTAGCTTCGTATGCCACCCAGGCGCCACCTGCAGAGATGGCCCCGTGGGCATCAGGTCCCTCCTCACTCCTGCCTTGGAGCAGGGACCCTGCCTACTTCCAGAGCCTCTCTGGATGTGGCCTGAGAGACCAGCAGGACTCTTGTCCCACTGTACAAGGGGGAAATAAGCCCAGAGAGAGAGCAGAGTTGGGGCTCAAATCAGAGCCTACTGACTCTCGGCCAGGGCTCCCCGGCCTCCCTTTTACCTCCAGAGCCATCAGTCAGCAGCCCTGGCCCAGGACTAGAGTTGGTTAGTTCTGTCTCAGGTGTCCCCAGTAATGCACCTGGCTCTCTTTGAATGGGACAGACTTGGGAGCAGGAGGAGCTTAGTAGGCATGACTCTGTTGTCCTAAGCTGGGGCACACACCAATCTCAGGGAGTCCAGCTGATGTCTCTTACAACTCTACCACCATGGCCAGGCTAAGCGAAGCTATTGGGGAGACCCCCTGAGAGGGAGGGAAGGAAAGCAGGGGGGTGGGGCCAGGTGGTAGGCGCTTTGCCCAGAGCTGGTCTGCACAGGTTCCCAAGGCAAGGGGGTTAGAGTGACTTGGAGTGGGGCCAGCTGCTGCTCTGTCCTGACAGTCCTACTGGGGAGGGAGGTCAGAGCATGAATCCCCCTGATGGCTGAGACAGGTGCAAGGTAAAATTACTCAAGAGTGGGCTGGGAGGTGGAGCATGCACAGGGCATACAGGGACCAGGCACTAAGTGGAAAGGACTCATGTTTCTGAGCCCAGCCCAGGCCACTGTCTTCACTATTGTCATTCCTCTGAACTAGCCCCAGTTTCCTGACCTCTGAACTTAGACCTTTCCTGGGATCTAGGCAGAAGGATCACTGAACTCTCACCCCTGTCCCCACCAAGAGGAGTGGGTGATCAGCTTGGGAACAAGAACCCAACTGTCTCAGGGACTGAACCCTGCTTGGGGGATGGAGGGAGTCAAGACTCCACAAGAAACCAATTGTGAGTTACTAGATGGGGTCAGCGCAGCAGAAGCGGACAGACAGATGGACAGGTGGATGGATGGATGAACAGAGCAGGCAGACAAGGGGAAAGCAGGAGGCGGGGGTTAGCACAGACACCCTGGCGAGGCTGGCTGCCCTATGAATCGTTGAGGGCAGTGAGCAAATCTCTCTCTGTTCATCGCTGTGCCCCAGCACCATCAATGCCTGCCGTGTCCTGGCCGCCTGACCTGTACTTGTTGAGCGAATGAATGGAAGAATAAGGTCCGCAGGGAAATGGTATCCTCCCCTGGCCTTGTCCCCCAGGGTCCCTTCCTCCATCAGGCCTCTCCTGATCCCCAGGAGACAATGACACTGCCCTGGCTGTGTCTGAGCAAACCCAGTATGTCTGTGCCAGCGGCTGAATCACCATGGGGCAGCCTCCCCAACACGCTCGGCTCTGCATGAGAAGGCCCAACTCCTGCTGCAGACACAGCACCAGCACCAGCAGCCGGTGTGTGTGGATGCTGGTCAACTGGGCGGACAGAGGAATGACTCAGGGAGTGTCCCATAGCCAGACACAGCGTCTCCTCCTAGAAGCTGGTTGGTGAAGCTGCCTGACCCAGGAGGGGCTAAGGCACTAGACGAAGGGAGACTTGGGTCCCTGAGTCTAGGTCTCATCCTGGAAATTCACGTCAAAACCCAGGACAGTGTCGGGCCAGGGTCTCTTGGCCAGGCACATCCAGAACAGGAAGCTCAGCCACTGTGGGGTCCTCTCGGGGGAACAAGGAAAAGGCTGTGTGTGGGGGGAGCAAAGCAGGGATGGGTGTCACAGATAGAATGTAAAGAAGAGAGAGAAAGAGATGGGAGAGGCAGAGAAAGGTAAACAGGAAGAGTGAACAGTGGGAGAGGCAGAGCCAGGGAGGGAGAAGATGGGAAGAGAGAGGCAGAAACTTGGTAGGGTCTGCCCTGGACAAGTGGTGAAGACCCCGGTGAGTGGGCCAGAGGCAGGGGGATGCCGGTGCCCAGGTAGGGTCCCCTCCTCCAGAGGGAGACACTTTGGTGCACAGAGAGGCCAGGTCAGGAAGCTGTCAAGGAAACACTGGTCCCCACCTGCAGAAACGGCCGTAGGAACAGGGAGCAGAGGGACACACACGGCAGTGGGACGGCAGGAGCAGAAAAGAGGATTGCAGGGGTAAGGGAGGCTTCAGGCAAGGGCGGTGTCTGCGAGGTGACCCAGGCACAGGGTTTGGTGCACGGCGGGTTTTTAGACAGAACTGGAGAAGGGGATGGCAAGAGGGAGAAAGAGGAACAGGAGGAGGAGGAGGAAGACCACACCAGAATTACCTGATCAAGTGATAGCTGTGAGATGCCAGAGTGCAGCAGAGAGAGGGGGAGGGGGAGAGAGGAGGGACATGCGCCGATCAGAGCAGGATGGGACAGAGAGAGAACGTCAGTAAAGAACAAAATCCCAGCCCCTTGGTTCCTGGCTGGGTGGGGGCCCCGGGCTGGCCCTAGACCCTCCCTGGGACCAACCACACCTCCCCACTTCGAGCACACCCCGGCTATCTTGCTGAGGGCTGGTGGGAACCCATGCCCTGGCTAACGGATGAGCAGGCCAGCCTGGAGAGGAACTGAAATTCACCTAAGCCCACACAGCCACTCAAGGCGGAGCTTGGCTCTGCGCTCCCAGCTGCAAGTTCATTCCAGAAGCCACCCAGCCTCTGTCTGAGGCAGGATGGGGCCACCAGGGTCCTTCCTTCTCCCCTGGTCAGGCCCGCTCCTGGCTGAGGGCCCAGGGCTCAGGAGCAGGTTCACCTGGCTGGGGTAGGGGCTGGGCCTGCTGTAGGGTAGGGATGGCCACGGAAGTGGTCAGATCCTACTCACTTCTGGAGCACGAAGATGCCCACGATGAGGGTGAAGGAGACCAGGTCGGCAGTGACCCACATGAGACAGTACTCGTCCGGGGGCTGTGGACAGACGGCCCGAGGCCAACTTCCAGTCATGGCCAGTCCAGACTGAGGCTCCAGACTGAGGGTCCGTGGACCAGAGGACCCCACATGGCCACTGGCGAAGGGCAAGGGAGGACTCTGAGGGGGTCTGGGGGCTGAAGATTACATTTTGCAGGTGTGGGCTCCGGGCTCTATGGGCCTGGGGGCCGGGGCGTGTATGTGTACATGTGTGCACTCTCAGGGTAGGAGGGGATTGTATGGTGCTAAGGGCAGAGGGGGCATGTGCTAGGCCTGCAGGGTCTGTGTGTCCAGCAGCCTCAAAGCAGGAGCCAGATACTAAAAGACAGTGACCCTGCTCCTCCCTCCCTCCTGACTGTCATCCCATCAGTCTTGCCCCTTTCCCCAGGCTGCCTTCCCTTCACCCTCCTCTCCCACAGAACCATCCACATCTTAGGTCTGATGCATTGGCACTGCATTCTCTCAGCCATAAGGATACCCTCCATCTGCCTTCTGCATGCTCAGGGAGGTGGCAGTGGAGCCACCACCTATCTGCAGGTGCGCAGTCAACCAGCTAAAATATTGTTTTACTTGCTGTTCTCTGAGCAAATTTTAATGTTTCCTATTCTTTTTTATTTTTATTTTTTGAGACAGGGTCTCACTTTGTCACCCAGGCTGGAGTGATCACAGCTCACTGCAGCCTCGACCTCCTGGGCTCAAGCAATCCTCCCACTGCAGCCTACCAAGTAGCTAGGACTACAGGTGTGTGCCACCATGGCCAGCAAATTATTATTATTATTATTATTTTGTAGACAGGGTCTCACTATGTTGCCCAGGCTAGTCTTGTACTCCCGGGCTCCAGTCATCATCCTGCCTCTGCTTCCCGAAATGCTGGGATTATAGGCGTGAGCCCTGCGCCCAGTCAATGCTTCCTATTCCGGTCCTGTTGTTACCCTCCAAACCAAAGAAACCCAAGCAGCTCTTTACTTCTCTAGAGCCCTTAGTGATGCTTTTCTCCCTGTGGATCAGGCCCAGGGTCCTCCCAATACCTTAGTGCAGATCCCAGATGCCATGAAATCCTCATGCCTCAAGCCTGCACCCCCACCACAGACTTCCCACCACGCCAGAGACCTCCCAGGGACAGCCCCAAGCACAGAGCTTGCTGAGTGGTCAGGGCAGGCCATAGGCGGCTCCAGCACTGCCCCCCAGGTGCTCTCTGCCCCCCAACTCACCATGATCCAGAGGGGGGAAGGCACCTGGGACAGGGTGTGGGAGTTGTCAGAGGTGACGGATGGGACCCCCGCACACCACAGCAGGGAGAAGAGCCACGGTGCATTGACTGTGTAGAGGTTCACACTCAGGTTCCAGGACGCGTAGTCCCTGTGAGGCAGGGGAGAGGCGGGTCAGCATGTGGACTCTGGCAGCTCCGGGCCCAGTGTGAGGGCTGGTAAAGCATGTCCTCTTCACCACTTCACAGCCATGCCCAGGGGAAGGAACGTCGGCTCCAGAGGGCCGAGCTCGGGGACAAGCCCGGGTCTGCCTGACATACCCTGTCGTCTTTGAACCATGTGTGCCCAATTCCTCTGTGTGCCCATCCCTCTGCCCAACTGTGTGTGTGTTTTGTGGGGCGGTGGTGGCAGGACTGAGAGGGACTCAGTCCCACCCTCTCCTGGAGGAGCCTGGGTCAGGGCAGGCACCTGAGCTCCTGGCGGGACACCTGAGTGTAGCGCAAGTTCAGCCGTTGGATGTGGCCTCTCCGCAGGCTGGTGACCGCCTCCTTGGAGCCCGATGTCTGCTGGAAGCCGGGAGCCACCTTCCGCACCAGGGGCCTCTGCCTGCTAGGCAGCCACATGACCTGCAGGCAGGAGAGAAGCAGCCTCGGACTTCTCTTCTGCACAATGGGTAAGAGTAGCTACCCCTCCTAGAGCACCCGTGGGGTTGAGAGATGGGACCTGGCAGGCAGTGAAAGCTTAGATGCAGTCATTAGCAGGGCAGGACTCAGTCCCAGCCAAGGCTGCAAAGCGCACTGGGAGCAACTCAGGAAGCTTCCCTTCTGGCCCGCTGCTAGTACGGGAGGGAAAACCCAAACAGCCACTACTCTGCACATGGCCACTAGCACTTAGTGTGCTGTCCTAAACTGATGTCAGATTTCTCTGGTCCCAAATTATTACACCACACAACAGGGCAACACTTCCCTGAAATAACTTGACAGCCTGGACCTTTATACATTTTAAGGTGTTTTCTTGTTTTCCTCTTGTCCCATGATGACCCTGCCAGGGAAGTAAGGGGTGTGTGATCCCCATTTTACAAATGAGAAAGCTGAAGTCCGGAGTGCAACAGGGAGAGGCTATGCAGCAGCAGGGCTGTAGCCAGGCCAGAGCTCCCGGGAGCAGAGCTGCGCTGCAGGGCCTCACCTGGTGCTGGGGGAAGCCAGAGTGCAGCACGGCCTCCAGAGTCACGTTGAGGAAACTGTTGCGGTATGGGTGCTCCCGGGGCGGGTCACGCAGGTTGAGCAGCAGTGTGGCATTGCCCTTGGCCAGCTCCAGGAGCTCTGCCAGGCTGCAGATGGACTGGTTCTGGGCCTCTCTGTGATCGGAGGGTGACAGGGAGCTGGCTGTCCAGAAGGGGTCAGTCTGGCAGGGATAGGGACACACACATGGCTGCATCATCAGCCCTTTGGGGGCCCCCATATACCCTTCTGGCAACCGAGCGTGGAGACCCCTGGGCTGCCAGAGGCTGCTGGGGTCGGCAGATTGATGGCTGTGGCCATGTGGAGGCTGTAGGAGGCCCCAGCCCTCACCTTTCTTCCCCACACCCTGCTTAGCAAGAGGACGGAGGACAGCTTACTTGGAATCGTGCCCAGACCCACGGCATTTCTCCTTCTAGAGCATTTCAGACCAGAAAGCCAACCCCTCTCTAGAGTTTTACAGAGTTAACAATTCTATTTACTGCTCTCGTCCCTGTCAACCTTTTATAGTAAGGGAAATGGACCCAGAACAAGCAGTGACAACCACGAGATCTGGCAGCAGTGGCAGGAGCCCAGGAGGCCACTAAGCAGCTTGGGTGGAGGTCGGGAAAGCCCTGTGAGTGGGGGTCTCAGAGCTGATGGCCACCCTTGCATCTCACTCCTTGCAGTCCCTGCTGGTGTTTTCCATGCCTAAGATTGGGGTCAGGTGCAGCCAGACCTTCAGGAACCACTGGCCAGCATTGAGTCTCTGCAGGGTGGTCCAGTTGAGCATGGAGGCAGGCCTGCGGGCCAGCTCTGGGAACTCCTCCTCCACGTTGGTGGTGCGCCGCAGGGTGGCGTCGTGCATGAGGAAGGGCACGCCGTCCAGGCTGCGGGGAGGGTGGGGCCGTCGAGTCACTGACCCCCCAGATCCCTCACCTGCCCACCAATGATCGTCACCCCACACAGTCCTCCCCATCCAGCACAGGATCCCGGCTGGGCTGCCGCTCTCTGGGCCTCAGTCTCCCCATCTGCACAGGGAAGACAGTGGGCTGGTGGGTGGCCCTGAAGGGCCAATGCCTTCTGGCTCTCTGTGAGGGTCAGATGGGGGTGGGGACTGCCAAGGAGGGCGGGCTGGGAAAAAAGCTGGACCTACTCTCTTAGCAGCCTTGGAAGGTAGGTGCTGCCTCATTTGATAATGGAGAAACTGAGGCTAAGAGATGGAAGTGTCTAGCTCAAGGTCCACAGCCTGTAAGTGGTGGAACCTGGTTTGGAACCAAATCCCTGTGATGCTATGATGGGAACAGTGCAAATGTAGACCTCTTTGGCAAATTCCATCCGACCCCAATCCTTGTCTACTCTACCAGGGTTGCCAATAGCTCATATGGTGCCTTAGTGTGAAAAAGTAAAAGGCACCCGTGCCCTCTGTTCCTCAAGGCATTTTACCACCATCTGCTAGAAAGTTGTGATAAATACACAATTCTATGTCTATACTGGGAACAATGTCCTCATATATGTGATGCCCTTGTTCAGAACACAACCTGTACAACTATATATGACAGTCCTGCCCGTCTTCTCTTCTCAGATAACCTGTTATGAGATTAGTATGGATTCTTCCTGCCATTTATACTAGTATCTACTTATATATGTACAGGGCGAAAGTGTATATGTCACTTTTTTGTGGTCTTTTAAAACGTAACTGGGGTCACAGTGACTGTATCACTCTGCAACTTGCTTTGTTTCCCTCATGAGAGTGTTAGAGCTCTATCATACACAGCCATATAGATCTATTTTTCCCTTCAAGTGGCTCTGTGGCAGGGCTCCTGCTTGCACCAAGAGCATTTGTTCTTTCCTCTATTTTACGTCCTGGAGTCTGCAGGAACGGGGTGCCTGCCCTGCTGTGGATAATCTAAGCCCCCCTCCTCCCATCTCAGAGGCTCTGAGACCAGAGGTTCCCCCAGCAGAGACCCAGGTGGATGCTGATGTGTGTGGGAGGGGTTAGAGGAGCTATATCCCCTCCGCTACACCTACCTGATGGTAATGTCAGCCTGGAGTCCATACAACTTCTGCTCGAGGGCCTTCCGGAAGGACATGAGCGTGTGCTCTGGAGCCAGCTGGGGAAGAAGGGGTGGTGAAGGGAGAGCCAAGATTCAGCTGATGTACTCTCCCCAGCCAGTGGGAAGTCTTCCATGTTAGGAGGCTGGGTGAGGCCTGGTTCTAATTCTGGTTCCTCCACAGAGTAGCTATGTGACCCTGGGCACCCACTCAGCTTCTCTGAAGTTCAGCTTCCTCAACCTGGCTCTGGTTCTAGCCTTGACTCTGCCTTTAGCTATTGTTCTGACTTTGGGTATATTTCTCTGTGGATCTCAGTTTCCCCATGTGCCCTTAGAGATGTGTATTCATGAGGGTCCTTATGCCTAATTAGGACAGTTGGGGCTCTAAGCCTCCCTAATTCCATCTCATCTGAGGACTCTGTCATACCCTTTGCTGCCACTGGGGGTCAGCACCAAACCAAGGATTGGGCTAAGCCCAGGCCCATGAGGGATGGTCCCAGGGAAGAAGGGAGGGAGGACACCCCACCCCCCATCCCCGCCCCTGTCAGTGAAGGGGTGAGGTGGGAAGGATTCCCATGGCTGATCTCAGTCATTCCCACTGAAGACAATCCTATTCCTACCTTCTCTCCCTCTGGCCACGATGTTCCCCAGCCACTCCCCTCTTCTGTGACACAGCCTAGCACTGGGGAGCCAGGGAGTGGTGAGGGCTTTGGAACAGACTGAAAAGGTGCAATTCCACTTCCCAGACACAGAGCCGGGGCATCAGTTTCTTTAGCTATAAAATGGGCTAACACTATCAACCTCATAGGTGAGATAACAAATGTCAGAGACCCTAGTCCAGGACCGGGCACACAGCAGGGTCTCTGTAATGAGTTTCTTTCTTCCCCTGTCCCTGGCACACAGCACTCTTGGAGGACATGTTACCTGTCTCCCAGACCAGTGGGCTGTGTGAGGCACTCCCAGGGGGAGCAGGACTATAAAGGCATGAAGACAGAGGCACAGACTCAGTGCAATCCCACCCATCTCTAAATATCCTGTGGCCGGGCCTTCTACCAGTGACCACTTGACAGGGGTCCATGCTCCCTGCTGCATGGGCTGGGGCTGCAGAAAGTAGAAGCTTGGGAGGGGTTACGAAGACCCTCAGGGCAGAGGAAGTGTTTGGGAAGGGGAAAGTCTTTTTTGGAAGCTTTTAGACACAGTTAAGGTCTCTCTGGCTTAGGTGCTGGCCTCCTGGAGAAAGATGTGGAAACCTGGCCCTCCCTGGCCAGACTTAGGACTCCAGGAAGGCCCCAGAAGCATACATGTTGCTGGGGTGAATTCTTAGTCTCCATCTCAGAGCTTGCACCTGCCTCAGGCCTGTCCAAGTGGGGTTCTGTTGTCAGGAGGTTGTGCATGGGGGTGGGGGGTAGTTACTCAGGTGGGCAGGACACTATGGTTAAGAGATCTGGATTTATAAAACAGCAACTCAAAGTACTATTAAAAAAGAGTCCTAGCTTCAGAGTTAGTGCAATAGAATATTAAAGTACATGTACAACTACGCACAGAGGGACAGGCCGCATCTGCATAGGAACAACACGTCCGGGGCACACAGTCTCCAAGACAGAGATGTACACTTGGGCCCACCACACACAGACATGTGGACCCAGAGTCAGAGACCCCCAAGGCAATGCACAGGGACACACAGAGAGGACCCTTGCCAGCCCCTCAAAAACTACCTCCAGGGCATGATCACCCAGTTGCAGAATGTGAAAAATCCCACAGGACAAATGACTCAGTTTCTCAGGACAAATAAACAGCCTAAGGGAAAAAAGGGAGGGGGATTTTTATTTATTTATTTATTTATTTTTGAGACAGAGTTTCACTCTTGTTGCCCAGGCTGGAGTGCAATGGTGCAATCTCAGCTCAGTGCAACCTCTGCTTCCCGGGTTCAAGTGATTCTCCTGTCTCAGTCTCCTAAGTAGCTGGGATTACAGGCATGTGCCACCACACCAGCTAATGTTCTATTTTTAGTAGAGATGGGGTTTTTCCATGTTGGTCAGGCTGGTCTGGAACTCCTGACCTCAGGTGATCTGCCTGCCTCGGCCTCCCAAAGTGCTGGGATTATAGGCATGAGCCACCGAGCCCAGCGGGGGGATTGTTACAGACCAAAAGGCACTCCGGAGACACACCAACCAGATGCATGCTGTGGACCGCATTTGGATCCTGATTTTTAACAACTAAACTGTAAAAAGATATTTTTGAGACAATAAAGGGAAATTGAACATGGATTCTATTTTAGATAATATTAAGGAATCATTATCCTTAATATTGGCTGGGTGTAATAACAGCATTGTGGTTATGTATCTTTCTAAAGTCCTCATGTGTACAGATATATCCTGAAGTGCCTATGGGTAAGACGATGCGATGCCTAAGATTTGCTTTACTACCCCAGAAAAAAAAGTAGCAGACAGATGAAGCAAGAATGGCCAAATGTTGGTAAGTATGGGATTGGATTCATTACATCCTTCTTCATTATGTGAGTTGTTATACGCTTTTCTCCACTTCTACATATATTTGACCTTTTTCTACTAAAGAAAACCATCTTCACTGGGGCCCCCTCACACACCCACCTTCCTGCTTCAGCATACCACTTGTGTCCCCTGGCCGCTGGAGGGAGCCCGGGAGATGGTAATCTGAGTCATGGAGACAGGAGAGGCCGTCATTCTGAGCCCCTCAGAAGAGTTCCCCTGTCCCTGCTGGGAAGGCTGGGCTCCAACTGATCCTCACAATAACCAGCAGCAGGGGCATCCATACCTTTGAGGCATAGAGTGGACTGGTGACCCCCTCCAAGATGCACAGGCAGCATGTGGCCAAACTGGACCCGAGATCCAGATCCCCACTGGCTGCCTCTGGGAGGGGCTGGGGTCAGCACGGGAGTCTGGCTCAGGGGCTGGAGTCTTATTGAGAAAATAACACCCACCACACGCAGGGGGCCAGACTTCCAGAGTGAGTGGCAGCCTGGCAGACCCAGCACCTCCTTCTAAAGCAGTTATGTGAGGCCCCCTTACTACCCTGAGGTCCCACAACAGCCTGAAACACTGGGAAGCCAAGCCCTCAGGAAGTGCCCACACCCCCGCCGCCTCAGCAGGGTGGGAGTGGTACTGCCTCTGTTGAGAAGCCCAGGGTTCAAGGCTTTCATGGAGGAAGAGACCCTGGTCCAGACAGATGGCCCTGCCCAAGGTAACAGCGGTGTCTACCTCTTACTTTCTGTGCGCCACATGCATATCTGGGCACTGCACACAGGCTACCTCCTGCTCCTCATAGTCCCACGGCAGGTGCTCTCTCTAATCCCATGGTACAAGACGAGGGAACCAGGCACAGAGATGGAAACTGTTGGGCCTCCCACAGCTGGTGAGGGGCTGTGCCGGGATGCTAACTCAGGCAGCACGGCTCTGGAGCCTGCCCTCTCACCGAAGCTCTCCTGCAGGGCCATGGGGTGCCCCAGTGGCAGAATGCGGCACTGACTTTGACCCCTTCCTCTCTCTCCAACTCAAGCCGGTTCAGCCATACTCACTGTCACAGTGGGCTCTGAGCTGCCTCCCAGCTCTCCTGGAGGGTTCTCCTGATGCCTGGTGGCAGCCCCCAGGCCCCACACTCAGCATCCGTCTCCTGGGCCTTCCTAACCTGCACCTGGGTCTAGCCTGGGCCTAAAACCCTCCTGCATCTTTGCAGGGCACTTAAGACAAAAGTGAAATCTTTTTAGGAAGATGCCTTCAGGATGCTTCAAGATGTGCTTCCATCCCAGCACTCCCGGCCTTTTTACCAATCCTTCCCATGCACCTCCCCTCAGAAAGCTACAGATGGTTGCTACTGTTACATATATCAATTTCCCAAGAAGGTCTCCCCCATCGCACCCCACCCCATGGGGCTGTTAGGACCCTGAGATGGCACTCACCATGGGGGCCCCACGGTGGCCAATGAGGGCGGGCTTGGGGCCAAGGTCCTTCTTCTCCATGATGCAGGGAGAAGAGATGGTGAGAGGGGCCAGGTAGAGGGCAAACACCACGGTGAAGAAGGTACAGAGAATGGTCACCTGGGAGGCTGCAGGTAAGGGGCCGTTAGTGCTGTCTGGTGAGCCCCGGGCAGGTTGGGGTGCAATGCTGGACCCCTCTACCCCTGGCCTGTCAGGATCCAGGTGCTCTTGGAGGCAGCCTTTATTCTTGCTGGGAAGGTGAACCCCGCCTCTAACTCACACAGACACACATGCATGCAGGCAGAGAGAGACATGGAGGAGGAATACAGTGTGAGGCCGACCGAAGCTGCGACCCTCCATGGACTCTGTGGGCCACTCTGAGGCAGGATCCCCCTCACTGAGTGCAGGGACCCCACCCCATCCCCAGGCCACCCAGGGAAAGCCCAGGTCATGGCAGCGCCAGCTGGTCTTGGCACCTGCAGGGATTGGAGGGGCAGGCCCTTCACAGTTCTACTCACAGGTCCGCTCTGCGCGGGCAAACTGTCCTGCCACAATCCAGGAGAGCACGGTGACTGCTGCCAGGGCCCCCACATGCAGGAATGGCGCTGTGCCCTGCGTGCAGGGAGAGGGAAGGGAGACCAATGACGCCCAGCTCTGCCCAGACCCTGTGTCACCAGCCTCCTACTTCTACCCATGGGCAGGCAACCCTGTCTCCATCTGCCAACTGAGGACACTGGGAGCCTCAGGACCCTGGCATCCTCCCTAGTTCTGACCTGCTCTGTGACTCTGGGCCCCTCCCTGCCCCTCTCTGGGCCTTGGTCTAGAGGAAGGGAAATGACAGAAAGGCTGTTGTTGTGAGGGTCCTGGGGGAGCAGCCACCCAGGCCCCCTCCCCACTCACCTGCAGGGAGATCAGCAGCACCTCCCACTCGTCCTCCCACAGCTGGGCCACGGCCGACATGGCCACCACTGTGGACGCCAGGATGACTACCAGCCCGATCTGGAGGGGGAAGAGACACCAGACAGACTCAGAGTGGGTGGGAGGGTTCCCAGTGTGTCTGAGAGAGGCACCAAAGGGAGAGACAGGGAGAGCAGGAGAGGCCAATGGAGCAGGGCAGAGGGGAGGGAGGAAAGAGACAGGCATGGGCTGCCAGGAAACCAGAGACCAGCAGACAGACATGGCAGGGAGAGACTGAGGCAGGAGGAGGCCGGCAGACCCAATGAGGAAGGGACAGTGAGAAATGGAAGGGAGGATGGGGACAGGAGGAGGAGGGAGCTGTGAGGAGGGAGAACATTCAGTAGGGATACCTCCCTGGGCCTGGCAGATTAGTCACACCCAAGGCAGATTAGTCACACCCTGCCCAGCCTCCCTGTACTCTCGGCTTGGCACAGCAGAGGAGGAAACCCACTTGCCAAGGCCATGCCCAGGCCTTAGGGGAAGGAGGCTGAGGACCTGGGTCCACTGCAGGAGCCTGGAGTGTAGCCCAGCCTGGCACGCTGGGCTGGGCTCACAGTGGCACTTCAGGCAGGGGTGGGTGGTGAAACACAGCTCCCCTTGCCCCATCTCCACGGTCTGCCCTCTCCCAGACTCCCAGCATCCAGGTCCACCGTGATGGGGGCCACCCTCCTTGCAGCCTCCAGAAGAAAGCAAAGCACAGCTCTCATGGAGGATGAGGTGGCACCTCCAAGGGACAGAGATCTCTAGGGACAGGGGAGACCTGAAATCTTCAACCACGCGAAGCTCAGCAGAGGTTTTCGGCTCCTTGGCCCCCAGCCCCTCGACCCTGGCCGTGGATCTCACTCCACCCACCACCCTCCCCATCCCGAGGCCTGTCTCTCTAAAGCCCAGGTTGTGGCTCTCCTCCAAAGTCTCCCGCAGCTCCCAGTCTCTGCAGGGGTCAAAGCCGCCACCTCCGTCTCCCTGGTTTCTCTAGACTCGTCTCCCACCTCCCTCCAAAGGCCTGTCCTCCCACAGCACTGCCGGCTGCCCTGCCTCCCTGGAGCCATTCTCGCTGCTGGCAGGGCCCTCACTCCCTTTCTCCCGAGGCAACTTTTCCCAGAGGCAGTAGCGGCCAAGAACCCTCTGACGCTGAGCAGGGACAGTGGCATTTCTAGACGATGGGCGTGGGGCGGTGGCCAGCATCTCCGCTCCCTGCCCAGGGACCTTCACTCGCTGGCGGGGAAGGCTGAGTCTCGCCTGGGATGAAGTTTCCCTTTGGGGGCTTTTCATTCCAGCCCATCAGCCTGGAAACGAATGTTCCCCCAAGAGACGCGAGTGAGGCCGAGACAGGTGAGCAGCTGGAGGGGCTGCGACATGCGGGCTCAGGGCTCAGGGCTCAGGGCGGGAAGAGGCACAAGCGTGCCTGGGCCTGTGGGGGTGCTTCGCCTGGTCCCCAGGTTGGTTCAGCGGAGGTATGGGTATCCTCATCTCACACACGGGAAGCGAGGTTCGGGGAGCGGAACAGCTGGCTGCGGAGCTTCGAAGGGGCAGAACCAGAAGCGAACACCTTCTGCCCATCTCGGGGGTGAGGGGGTGTGCGCTTTCTCTGACAGCACGCTGGGCTGTGCAGTCTCAGGGAGGCCCAGCCGCGCCTCCGAACCCCTGAGAACCCCGCCCTCGGCACTCAGGCCCCTCCTCCCGGCTGACCCCGGCGCGCAGCTGCCCCCTTGTGGCCATCGTGGGAGGAGGCCCTACACACAGCGAGTTAAGGGCGGTTTCTGGGAGCGTCTCATCACAATACCTAACTGTTAATGGAAATGACTTGCAATAAAACTGATTCCCCAAACCCTAATACAATTAAAAATGTTATTATCTCTGGGTTCCACAGTTGCTTTGGCGGTAATCATCACGCTCAGCAACATCACTGCATGTTCAGCGTCTGTGGGACTCCCCCTACCTTGCATCATTAAGTCACAGCAATAGCACTGACACCCAACAATGCAACCACCGTCGCTCCTGAAATCTGACTGAGAAGGATGAACCCCACCCTAGAGGCCTAGAGACAGACCACCGTCCTCCTCTGAGAAAGTGGCCTTGAGTTCTCTGTCCTCGTGGGACTATGGCTTGTGATGGCAATGGTGGGAACAGGGGATACAATAGAGTCTTTCATTCACTCGATGAGTCTGGCCAGGGTGCTGGGACCCGAGAGAAGGTGGAATCCTGCCTTGCAGAGGTGCAACGGCTGGCCTCTCAGGGGTATCTGACCTCTGGGATTTGCAGTCCAAATGGCAGACAGTTGGCCCAGGGTTAAGAGCCTCACTTGAGTCACGGTCTTCAGTCAAATCCTGGCTCTGCTACCTATTGGGGATCTTTCCACATCCTCTCCAGGAACCTTTCCAGAGCTGTGAAATAGGGATAGTGAGTACCTACCTGGAAGGCGGTTGGGGAAGATCAATGAGGAAATGCAAGTGAAATGATTAGTACAATGGCTGGTCAGAAGAAAATGCTTACTAAGTATCAGTGGTATCATTTAAAAAAGTAAGCATATCATGGGAAAAGGGTTGTCGTAAGGAGTGAAATGATTGTGATTTTCTGAGTGAAAGGTGCCCGACACATGTGGTCAGCACCCGATAAATGATGGTTACTGCTGTTATGGTGAACACAGTGCCTGGCACACGCAGGAGGCGCTCAGTGAATGTGCCTGCCTTACGCTGCTGCTGGAGGGACAGAGGCTGGACACCAGGAAAAATCATAAAGCTTGGGCCAGTGCATGGAGAGAAGTCTGAATTCACCAGGAGAGGTGATGAAGTAGACACAGCAGATGGCAGGTAGAGGCTGATGGAGGCCTGGTAGGAGGCAGAAGCCCCAGCCCCAGCCCAGCTAGTAACTTGCCTTGGGGCCATGTGGTACCCAGTGCTCCTCTCTGGGGTTCAGGTTGGGTCCCTGACAGACACCTCCTCTGTGCAGGTCCTGGGTTGGGGGCTATTGCCACTGAGGCAGGGGAGTCAGGCGAGGACACAAGAGCGGTGCAGTGTGCTCAGGGCAGGCTGAGGAGGTGTGAGCTGTAACCAAAGCACCTCATAGAGGGTGGTAGGTGGGACAGGAAGCAGGGCATCTCAGTGAAAGGGCCTCCTGTTTACTGTAAAGCTCCCAAGAACCCTTCAGCCTGCTCCCTCACCTCCTGGGTACATCAATTTCTCTTGAACACTCACCTGGGAGAGATTTCTGGGAAACAGGAGATTTTGGCAGACTAGGGAGGAGGAGGCAGGAGATCTGGTCCCCATATGGGCACCAGATCTACTCAGCACCTAGCCTGCTGTGAATGGCTCCCTCTTACCCTGTCCTGAGCATCTCTGTCCTCCCCTCCTCAGGACCCAGGGGAACCAGGGACTCTCAAAATAAAGTTCATGATTAAAACATACTATAAAACTGTGGTCTTTAGAGTGCTGTGATACTGATATAAGACCAGATAGATAAATGAAAATAAGCAAAAAGTTCAGAAACAGATCTGAATACATAAAGAAAATTTAGTATATGATAAAAATAGCATCTCAAATGAGTAAAGGACAAATTCTCAGTAGAGAGAGTTGGGAACATTGGAAAGCCATCTAAAAAGAACAGAGTAAGATCACACTATACCCCAAAATAGCTTCCAAAAAGAGAAAAAATTAAATGTTAAAAACATGGAAATATATAATTACCAAGTGACACCATAGAGAAATTTTTATAATCTTGGAGTGGGAAAGACCTTTCTGAGTCTGACACAAAACCAAGGAGTTATCAAGAGATGACAGATTCAAGTGTGTAACAATAAAGAAAATATATATCCCCATGGTAAAAACACAATGAACAAAGTCAAAGGATGAATGACAAACTAGGAAGAATTATTTGCAGTTTGTTAGCCAAATGGCTAATTTCCCACATCTATAAAGAGTTCCTGCAAATGAATAAGCAAAAAGCAATGGCAAAAAATGGCAAAAGATATGAAGAGACAGTTTTACAGAAAAGAAAACACAAGTTACTCAAACCAAACATGTGAAAAATGCTGAATCTAACTCACCCGAAGGGAAATGCAAATGAAAACTACAGCAAGATACCATTTTTCACCCATCAGGCTGACAAAAGCCAATAAGTCAGCTGATGCTTTATGGGCAAGGGTGTTTTTATAGAACAACCATCCATTGCTAAGAGAGCATGAATCGGTGGCACTTAGCAAGGAGGCCATTTGGCAAGATCAAAATGATGAAAGTACACATTCTTCACCCAGAAATTCCTCTCCCAGGTCACCGCCACATCGTCCTGGCAAAAGACAGAAAGCAGCTAGGATGTTGATCTGGTCTATCAATAGGGAACTGGCTAGATGCCTAGGGAATCAGGGAATATCCAGACCAGGGAGCAGGAGAAAGGGATGGACACCAACAGGGATGCTTTAATGCAGGGAAGAACAAGCTTCAAGAATTCTGTTAAGGTGCAGAACAGAGGGTGGAGTAGGCGACTGTTTGTGTTCAAAGAAAAAAGAAATGCATATGTACATGTGCATGTGCTTACAATCTGTCTGGAAAGATAGTGAGGAGACTTTCTTTGCATACTTTTTTGTGCTTTCTGTATTTTGAATCATGTCGATGTATTACATGGTCAAAAATTAATTAAAACAAAACAAGCAAAAAAGAATAAATTGTCCTTAGAATTTTAGAATCAAATCACAGCATCTTGGAAACAAGAGAATTTCCAGGCCCTGCTGGAACACTCTGAGCTCTGGGGAACTCCCTCCTGGTGGGGCGGGCCTAGCTCTGGGTCAGCTCCACCTGGAAGGACCCTGCTCATGCTGCGATCTCACAGAGGGGCAGAGGGCAGAGGAAGGCACCTTGGCAGCTGGCACCAGCATGGACAATGGGATCTGCTTCCCTACATTGATCTGCCAGCTCCAGCTGGCTCAGCGGCTCTACAGGTCTCTCCACTAGGATCAAGCAGGTGTGACCTTACCTGCTGAGAGCCAGGCATGGCCCCAGAAGGTGACCACAGCATGTGCCAGCTGCACCTAGGGTGCCAGCTGGTACAGTTCTTTCAAATGCCAGCTTTGTGGCCAGGAGAAGAAAGTCCCTCACAGAGGGGACAGTGGAAGCCCAGAGGAGGCCTGTGAGTAGAGTGAGGGGCAGGAGGAAGGTGGAGGGACCAGGGGCTGCTCACGGCTCCTACCACTCTGAGATTTCAGTCTCTGGGGTCTGACTCCCAAGCTCCAGGCCTGTGTAACCAACCAACCTCAGTGCCTTCCTGGATGCTCACAGGCACCTCCCACTCCACACAGCCCAACCCAGGCTCACGCCATCCCCTCTTCCTTTCCTGTTCCACATCCGTCTTCCAGCTAGAAGTGAGCCCCTACCCTTGGAGTCACTCTGGCCCCATCTCATGGGCTCATGGTAGTTTCTGAACATTTCTGCCCTTTCCTAAATGGCAGGCCCACAGGGAGCCAGGCTCTGGGGAAAGGGAGATGATCCAAATGTTCCTGAGAGGGAGGGGCTCTGCCTTGTTACGCTGGGTACCACTCTGTGCCCACCAGGGCCTCAAGAAGGCCAGGCATCAGAAACACACTTCAGCACTATGCCTGCAATGGACGTAAGGCAGAGAGTTAAGGCTCCAGAATTGTGTGAAGCCTGTCTGCTTTGGGCCCAGCCCTGAGGGGGTTACTGGGAACAGGGAGATGGAGGTTAACTCTGGCCTGCAAGGAGCACCTCGACTGGATGGGTCGGGGTCAGGAGCCAGACGAATACTAAAAACACAAAAACACAGCTCTTCAGACATGTAGCAGTGGGGGCTGCAGGGGCTGAGGAAGTCCCGGGAGAGAAGCCTGTGTATGTAGGAGAGGTACTGAGGAAGGGGTCTGAGAGAGAAAGGGAGGACAAGAGCAAAGTGCTAAACAGGGGAGGGAGGCAGACATGCTGGGAGAGCATGGGATGTCTCATGTAGCAGAAGCTGAGGGTGACTGTCCCATGACGGGTTGGGAGATGAGCAGGGGCCAGATCATGCCAGGTAGGGAAGTTTGGGTCATCCTGGGAGTGGTGAAAAGGCTTTAAGTTGGGGAATGCCATCGCCAGATCACAGTTTTCAAAAGAGCTCACCAAAGAAGGAAGAGGCGGGTGAGACCCGAGGCAGGGCCCCCGAGGGTGGGTGCTACGGTATGAGCTATGGAGCTCTGCTGGTTAATCGCATGACTACGGGACCAGGAACCTGGATCTTCCATGTTTAAACTGGGAACCTTAGGCAAGTTAATTAACCTCTTTGTACTTCAGTTTCCCCAACCACAAAATGGAATGATAGCAGTACCTACATCACAAGGTTGCCGTGAGCGTTAAGTGAGTGAAGACGGGCGAGGTTGTGAGAAACGTGCTTGGCACATAGTGAGTGCTCAGTATTAGCTATGAGAACAATTCTAACAGTGATCCGGGGAGGGATACGGTGGCCAGGCCCTTCCTCTGCTGCTGCCACCTCCAGCTTCCCCTGCCCTCTCCCCGCCCCAGCTGAGGCGGCCCTTACCTTGTGCAGCCAGTGCAGGTTCATCTGCTGCCCCACGGCAATGTGACATAGTGCCAGGACCTGAGGAGGGGCCCACAGGGTGATTGTCAGACCCGTGTGGGCGGGAAGACTTTGCCACTTTCTCAGACACCCTGCTCCCCACTGCTGCTCTGGGTCTGACCCTGGGCAGAGGTAGCAAACCTCCCTCCAGGCAATGGGAATGCCCTGCCCTCCCCAGCCCAGCCCAGACTAGCCAGCCTGAGCCTGGCCTCCTCCCAGATGATTCCAGGCCTCTAGGTTCTTCCTTTGTGGGATTCCCCATTAAGAGGTCACTGGGAGCTGCTGTACTTGGACTACGCAACTTCATTCATCAAACATTTTGGGAGTTCCAGTCCCTGGGATTCTGAAACAGACTTGAGCATGTCCCCAAGGAGCCCCCAGTCCAGCATGGGGGATCCACCTGCATCTCAGTGAGTGGAATATTGGGAGCAAGAATCCAAAGCAGAGGCTCCTGTAAGAGGAAGCCTGCAGTGGGCCCTCTCAGCCAGGACAGCTCTCACTGGGTCCAGGGCAAACATTCCAGGAAGGGGCAGCCTAGAGAGATGGGCAAAAGCAAGAGGACTTCCTCCCCTGGGGGACCCAGGCCTCAGAGGTGCAGCAGCCCTAGAGGCCCTGGGCAAAATCTGAATTCATGTGCCATATGTAGCCAACTTCCTACTAGTGGCATGAAATAGCTTCTGATTAGTTGCTATTACAAATTAACATAAAAATAAAAATTTTATACGTATCTTTCTGTATTTTTGATTACTTCCTTAGGATAGATTCCTATAAATACAACATTCCTACAAATACAACTTTCCCCTTTATACTAGGGTGGCGCCCTCCATCAGCCTAGCACAGGCCCAGTCTCCCTTCCCCTGGGAGCAGGGCCACCTGCCCTCCGAAACAGCCCCACGTACCAGGAGGCCAGCGATGTACGCAAAGGCAGCAGCTGTGGTCACAAGGATGGGCACGGGCCAGTCGCTCCAGTAGCCCATGCGGTTGTAGAGGTACCTGCCAGGAGGAGAGGGGGCAGGGGTCAGACCTCCACCAGGCCACTGCCTGGCCCAGGAATCAAGATGGTCTCAGCCTCCACACAGACCACAGGCTGGGCTCAATGACCAGGCCCTGCCCACCCAGCAATGAGACTCAGCGTTTGCCTGATGCTGTACCATGCCTGCTCATGGCAGCCACCCGGGGACCAAGAAATGTAAAGGAGAAAATAATGCCCCATAATCCTATTGGCCAGAAGTAATCATTCCCAAGACTGTGCTGGATCTTCCTCCTGTGGGTTCCCCCGCCCCTGTGCCTATATGTTTGTAAAAACAGCAAAGCCAGGACCCCATTGCACAAAGCAACACAGTCAGGAGCACGGGCTTTGAAGTGAGGCACGCAGGCTGGATTCAAACCCCCTCTCTTCTCTGCTTTTCACTGTCTTGCAGGACCTTGTGGAGGACAGGCTTCACTGAGTCTAAGATGCCATCATTTGTGACTGTCATCTCAACTTCAATGTTAAAATGTGAAAATTGGGGGTCTTAGAATTGACCGAATGTAATACTTGACTTCTCTGAGACTTAGTTTCCTCACCTATAGGATGGGGATAAGAAAGTGCCTTTTATGGGGTCTCATGAGGATAAAGTGAGGTGAGACGCATGGTAAGTACTCTAAACTCTCCTGGTTTTTGTTTGTTTGTTTGAGGCAGGGTCTCTGTCACTGAGGCTGGAATGTAGGGATGTGGACATGGCTCACTGAAGCTTTGACCTCCTGGGCTCAAGCGATCCTCCTACCTCAGCTGGAACCACAGACACCCACCACCACATCTGGCTAATTTTTTTTTTTTGTATTTTTTGTTGAGGCAGGGTCTTGCCATGTTGCCCAGGCTGATCTCAAACTCCTGAGCTCAAGTGATCCTCCTACCTCAGCCTCTCAAAGTGCTGGGATTATAGGCGTGAGACACCATGCCTGGCCAACTGTCTTCTCAACACAAGCATTTACTTATGCCAGTAAAAATCCTGAGAAAATGTGATTTTTAAAACAGCCACGTGGTTTTCCACTGAATTAATGTACCATATGTAACCAGCTTCCTACTAGTGGCATGAAATACTTTCTAATTCTTCACTATTATAAATTAACATAAAAATGAAATTTTTATACATATCTTTCTGTATTTTTGATTACTTCCTGAGGATAGATTCCTACAGATACAATTATAGGGTCAAAGAGAATGAATTTCTTTTTGAGACAGGGTCTTGCTATGTTGCCCAGGGTGAACTTGAATTCCTGGGCTCAAGCGATCCTCCCGTCTCAGCCTCCCTGGTGCCTGGGACTATAGGCACACACCACTGTGCCTGGTGGGAATGAACTTTTTAAGGGGCCTGATAGATAGTGCTTAGATGCTCTCCGCAAAGAATGAACCACCTACATCCTCCTTGTACAAAGGGGGAAACTGAGGCTTGAAAGAGGCAGCAACTTGTTCAAGGTCATTAGAAAATCCGAGTCAGCACCAGGCAGCTTCAGCCTGCTGTCATCTGGGACCTTGCCAGAGAGCTGGGAAGGGACACCAGGAAGACCCCATGGGGCATTTGCCCTCCCTGGCCCTCACCCTCAGAGTCCAGGGGAAAATCTACTGCCTGGCAGATCACTGAAGGCACTCACCTTACCATACAGTTGGGAAACTGAGGCCTGAAGAGGGGCAAGACTTGCTCCTGATAACTATTCCTGAAAGATGTTCTGGTCCCACTTGTCTCTCAAGTGTGACCCCTTTTGGCAGGGAGGTCCTTCAGGACAGCAACAGCCCAGACGGCCCTCCCTGGCCTTCCTGTCTAGTGCTGATCCCCGGCTGTCACTCACACCCTCTTACTATATGAATTGAATTATTCTCAGAGACTTTTTTTTCTTTTTCTTTTTTTTTTTGAGACAGAGTATCACTCTGTTGCCCAGCCTGGAGTGCAGTGGTCTCCCAGCTACAGATGTGGTGTCCCAGGAAGCAGCCCTCATGTTTAGGTAGAGCTTTGAGTCTTCTCATGTTCATCATCTCATTTCATCCTCAGAGAGATCTGATGAGGTCAGCGTTACTCCCATTTTACAGAATGGGGTAAAATGCGATCTCGGCTCACTGCACTGCAACCTCCACCTCCCAGGCTCAAGCAATCCTCCCACCTCAGCCTCCCGAGTAGCTGGGACCACAGGCATATGCCACCACACCTGGCTAATTTTTTGTAGTTTTTGTAGAGGTGGGGTTTTTTCACGTTGCCCAGGCTGATCTTGAACACCTTGGACTCATGTGACCTGCCTGCCGGGCCTCCCAACGTGCTGAGATTATAGGCATGAGTCATTGTGCCTGGTTCCCAGAGACTCTTGAGACCATCAGAACTGGGCCAGGGCATCCTGAACCCCAGCACTGACTCCAAGAAACTGAGGTGACAGGCTGAAGAAGCTGCAGGTCTCCAGGCATCCCTAAGTGCCAGGCAGGCCTCCCCTTGCCACCTCCCCGACAGAGCAGGAACCCATCCTCCGCCTAAATCTCCCAGTGACAGGGAGTTCACTTTCTGGGTAGAGTGGGTGGCTCCATGGACATGATACAGTCAGGCAGGCTGAAGTTCCTGTCCCAGATCTGTCTGCTTCTTGCTGTGTGACATTGGAAAGGCTACTTAACCTCTCTAAGCCTTAGTCTCTTCAGTCTGTCCTCAATTCACGTTTTTGGCACTAACTGGTTGTGTGACCATGAATGAGTCTTGCCCCTCTCTGGGCCTCCATTTCCCCATCTGTACATGGTGGGGGTAGACTTGATGATCTTCTAGGCAGCAGACTTCCAGTTTGGAAGAACTATCCGGGTCTGCAGTTGAGGACCAATAGGGAACGTTCCCATTTACTCATAATGGTGCCCATGCTTTGGACATCTGCAAAGATGAACAATTGATTTACGGCATTTAATAAAGGCCAGAGGCCACCTCTGGGACTCTGCCGGGGCTCCGGCTCATCTTGCTTGGCTGCCGCAGAGCAGGGGTGGGACCGCAGCATATTCTTGATTACGTTCATTAATAACAGAGGCACAGCCTGGTGCCATGCGGGGAAAAGTGGACACCCAGCTCCATGAACAGAGTCCCAGGATCATCACAGAATCCTAAACCACAGCCTGTCAGAAGCCCAGGGTCCTGAAAATCCCAAATACTAATATCATGCTGCCTCCCAGCTAGAGATGTGGTCTCCCAGGAAGCAGCCCTCATGTTTAGGTAGAGCTTTGAGCCCTGTTGTGTCCATCATCTCAGTTCATCCTCAGAAAGACCTGATGAGGTCGGAGTTATCCCATTTACAGAAGGAGAGGCTCAGAGAGCACCGGGGACTTGCTCACGGCCATGGTGACCTGAACATCTGATCAAAAGGAAGGAATAGGCCAGGCGCGGTGGCTCACACCTGTAATCCCAGCACTTTGAAAGGCTGAGGCAGGCGGATCACGAGGTCAGGAGATTGAGACGATCCTGGCTAACACGGTGAAACCCCGTCTCTACTAAAAATACAAAAACTTAGCTGGGCGTGATGGCGGGCACCTACAGTTCCAGCAACTCGGGAGGCTGAGGCAGGAGAATGGCATGAACCCGGAATGCGGAGCTTGCAGTGAGCTGAGATTGTGCCACTGCACTCCAGCCTGGGCAACAGAGCAAGACTCCGTCTCAAAAAAAAAAAAAAAAAAGGAAGGAACAGCAATGGATGGGGAGTGAGGAGCCAGGCTTCCAAGCCCCAGCTCTGTCCCCAACTGGCTGTGTGACCTGGGCCTGTTTCCTTATCTGTCAATGGAACCCTGGGTCCTTGCCCTCCTCCCATGACCTCCCACTGCTTAACAAAAGGCAGGCGATGGAATAGGGAAGAGGAAAAAAACAGGTGCCCCTCCTGTACCCAGGAAAGTGGCTCAGACAGCCCTGCCTTTGGATCTGAGGTACCCACAAAGGACTTTGAGCTGTCCCCAAGCTCATCTGCCAGCCCTGCCCAGGGCCTGGCTAAGGGAGTTAGGAGGCCTAGGCTCCGGGGCTATCTCCTCTGCAGAGACCTCTGAGCTGTAGATTTCTTGTCTACAAAGGGGGTGACCAGAGGCCCCAGCCCCGGCTGAGCCCTGGCCCAGCCTTATGTCCCTATTTTCCATGGTCACAGCACCGGGAAGGAGCGTCCTGTGTCTCCCCAGTGGGCTTTGGCTCCTGTAAGCCTTTTTTCTTTTAGGCTCCCCTCCACCTCTTCAGGAGGCCAGGAATGCAGGCTGAATCATCAATGCAAGCACCAAGGGGTCTCCAAGACCAGCCCCTAAAGTTCCCCAGGTTTCAATCCCAGCCATTCTTTAAGGCCCAGTTCCCATGCCTCTTCCTCCAGGAAGCCTTCCCTAAATTCCCAGGGACTCCCCTCAGGGCATGGATCTCTCTTTGTGTCCTCCTCTTCTTTCTTGCCAGTCTGTGATACAATCCCCACCCACACCTCAGGCACTTCCCACTACAGTCCCACAGCAGCCTCCTCACCAAAGCCCTGGAGGCGGGCAGGACAGAGGCTCCCAGGGAGTAGGCCCTGCCCAGGGCCACACAGAGAGCTGGTGGCAGAGCTCAGAGGGCCAGCCTGGGAGACAGGCTCTAACTCCAGCCCCCAGGTCCCAGCTACTGGCTACCCGGCTCTGGGCCCTTCCTCCCCGGCCCACTGCCCCCACTCACCAGTTGAATTCATCATAGTCATTGTGGACTTCCCACCAGAAGTAGAGCCAGGTGAGCGTGAGGCCGAAGGTGAAGGTGAGGAGCAGGAACCAGAGGCGCTCCCACTGGAAGAGCAGAGGAGGAGGGGGTTAAGCGGGTCAGGGGCCAGCCCCTTAGGCTGCCTCCCAACAGAATGTGTCCCCCTCCCTCCCACTTTGTAGCCAAATCTGCCAGGCAGAAATTCCTGCCCTCTTTACCCTGGGAGAAACTGAGGTTCAGAGAGGGGAAGTGACCTGTCCACCATCACCAAGCCCAAAGTCACAGAGTGGTGGAGAGCCAGGGGCAGTCAGGGCCTCCCCCCCGGGGCTGTGCTCTTTTCACTGTGGCCTGCAGCCTTTCCATCATGTACCGCTCTCCCTGTTCTGGGGATGGCTCCCTTGGTGCGGGCACAGTGATCGGCAGTCTGTGAAGTCACATCCCTCACACACATGCCTACGAAGAAGGCACTGTTCTTCTCCACCTCTACCCCCTGCTACCGAGAAAAGCACTGAGGCCCAGAGAGGCCAAGTGACTTGCCCAGGTCACACAGCAAGTTAGCAGAGGATTAAGGACCAGCACCCTGGTCTCTGGACTGGAAGAAGTACAGAAGTGCTGTGTTCTGCTGCCTCCACTGGGCCAGATACCCGTCTCCAGCCAGGTGGAAGTGGGGTGGCGGGGGACACTGACACCACCACTGCTGTTTCCTGAGGGGCCAGCTCAGGCGTCTGCAGGCACTTCCTCCTGGACCTCTGGTTTCTCCCTGCTTTCATCCGTCCCCTTATCTTGGAAGCACAAAAAGCTTGGAATATCCTGCATCCCGGGAAACTGCTGAGATCATCAGAACAAGTCAACAGCCCTTGAGGAGAGGTCAGTGTGAGGAAGAACCAAGACTACTTTTCTCTTGAGGGTGTGAAGTCCCGGAGGCAGCCCTACCTCTGGGCTCCCTGCTGTGTTTCTAAACCATCCCAGTTTAACCTCTTCATGGCTCCTTACTGATAGCCGACCTGGAGTGTGGCCCCCTGATCTCTCCAGCTTCGACGTCCACAGCCAGTTCCTACAACCTGGAAGGGCCACTGTCTGTGGGCTTGTTCCCTGAACATTCCCACTCACCTTTCAAGTCAGCTCAAATATCACTGCCTCTGTGAAGCCTCCCTGGATCCACCCTGCCACCCTCGTGCCTGCTGCACTGCTCCCGCAGCATCAGCATCCCTCTGTCTAAACTCACACTCTGCACACCATGACCTGCTCACTGTGTCCCCCAGACGAGTGTGGGTTCTGCAAGGATGGAGACTGAGCCGACTTCCACTCCACTAGTACTTTATGACCACATGCAGGATTGGGCAGGAAGGAGGGAAAGTCCTCTCACTGTCCAGAATCCCTCCATCCCCACACCATGCAGATACCATCAGTCTACCCGGGAACCTCAGATCCCTGTCATCACTTACAAGCTGTGAAACCTTGGGCAAAGTACTCATCCTTTCTGTAACTCAGTTTTCACCTCTGTGAAATAAGGGTAATACTAGTACTTATGCCATGGGATTGATGGAGAATTAAATGAGATAATATAAGTCAGGTGGCTTGGCAAGCACTCAGCACACTACCAGCGTATCTGTGACATCCTCTGCTTCTCCAGAATGTAGGAAAGGCCTTCACACCCTAATGGTCCATGACTCCATACCCACCAAGGGCCTGCTCCATGCCTCACCTTCGGCAAGAGGGCTGGTGCCTGGGTGACCCTCCTGCCCAGGTGGGTCACTCCAGTTGGGCGACTTGTGCTTGGGTGAGCAGCTGCCACCACTCCTTGTCATGTGCAGAGCCAGACTGCCTTGCTTAGCCTCACTTTGTACAGAAACAGAGAGGCAAAGGTGACGACACCCTGAGGCCCAGTATTTCTAGCAGGTTTAGGTTTGGGGAGGTGGCTTCTCAGAGAGTAGGCCACTTGTGTCTGCCCCAGCTGGATACAAGAATGGCACAAGCTCCAGTTCCAGGCACAGCAAAGCCCAGCCTTGGTCAAGAATAGGGAAACCCTGGCTAGGAGCAGGGCAGGACTTGTGCCCTTCTAGATCAATCGAACCGTAGGAGCCACCACCCAGAGAATGACTGAGTCCCTAGACTCAGTCCTGCCTCCCATGGAGGCAGTCTGGGTCTGCACATGACCGTCCCTCCACCATCCTCCAGCCAGCACCCCAGGACTAGTCTTTCTCAGAATCCCTCTTGCCACCTCAAATTCTTTTTTGCTCATAACAGCCTTCATTTCCTGCAGAGTGCAGCTGGTGAGTCCCACGCCAGCTTAAACATCTGAGTCTCGCAAAGGGTGAACCATGTCTTTAGACTGACACCCATCTGGTCATGTCATGCCCCAGCTTGAGTCTCCCACTGGCCAGAGCTTCTCAGTAGATATCAGGGCCTACTCTGTCTGGCCCAGGCCAGCTCTGTGCTTTATGCCCCATGCACAGAATTACATATGGTTCCCCAAATAGGCTCTCCAGACCCCAAGCCTTCACACAGCCGGAGCCTCCATCTAGAAAGCAACCTGTCTCTGCTCCATTAGGCAAACCCCTACTCCTTCCAGAGTGCTTCCTCCCTGAAGACTGCCCTGTCTCGCAGGGTGAATCCCATCTCCGCAGAGATCTGTAACCCATGCAGCCATCTCTCTTATGGCTCAGACCCCACAGTTCTAGAACTCTATACATGTCAGTCTCCCTGCTGTACATAAGTGCCTTGAGATCTAGGCAGTCTTTGTGTTCCAGGTGGCACAGGAACTTGAGAAAGATTTGATAATGAAATGATAGGTGAGGAAACACCCTTTCTCCTACCCTGGCATTTCACCAGGGTAAGAGATTTCCCTCAGGCTTAACACCCAATCCCCACAAAGAAGTGCCTAGTCTTCTACAGAGCCCACGCTGGCAGTGCTAGATGGCTGTCTGTCCACAGAGACCACTTTGCCTCCTCAGGGGCAAGGCCTGTGTGCCTCTGACCAGCAGAGAAGGTTCTGAGAGGGACCTAGGTGAGGGGTGAGCCTCGGCCTAGGATGGGTCTGGTCCCAGGCGAGTACCCTAGAGGCGGGAAGGTAGAGAACCTGCCATAGGCGCTGGGAAGACGTCCTGTGGCCGGGATGATGCAGGGCCCAGAGGCAAGGCTGACAGGGGGCCGGGAAGACCACAGGGGCTGGGAGGGCCCATGGCAGCCAGGGTCCTATGCCCCAAAGGCCATTGTCCTCACGTGTCCAAATCCTTACAGTGGAGCAAGGCAGGGCAAGAATGAGGGGCTGCACCTCCCACTCCTGGGAACCAGCCAAAACTAGAGCTGGCGGTGGTGGGGGGTGAGGCATCCAGGCATGGAAGGAATGCAGGCAGGGCCCAAGCAACAAGGCGTCAGGAACCCCATGATCAGAACTAGGGCATGAGCTGGGGTTGGGTCAACCTAGGGATTAAAGCCCTGGGAGCTGAAGCCGGAGGCCACAGGGAGCCTGTAGATGGGGACGAAGAGGCCCTAGCACAGAGGGAGGCAGGCAGCGGGGGTCACTCTAAGAACAATCAGAGGAAAACACTGAATGGCAGGGGCTGGAAGGAAGGGAAGGGGAAGTGAGGAAGTAGCTGGAGGAAGTGGCCTGGGGAGCAGCTTCACTGATAAAGAGGCCCCAATGGCACTAATGGTCCTTGTCAGGGCACATTACAGCAGAGAGAGGCCTGCCCGCTCTACCCATTAGCAAGCCAATCTGGCCCTGCTCCCAGAGACACGGAGCAGTGATTGCTGCCTCAATGCCCCAGCCACGGCCTCCTTCATCTCTCATAGTCTGCATAACACTAGGGATTGTTTATTTAGGGGTATCTACCCCCATTGCACAGAGGCTCAGAGAAGGGCCACCACATATGGCTGAGCAAGTTTTGCACTGCCCCCTAAGAAGTGCCTCTCACATCATGGTGACCATCAATGTGCATATTTATTATGATGATTTGCTGGCACATGGCAGTCGTGTCCTAAGAAAGGGGCGCTTTTTGCTAATTTGCATAAAGGCTCAACACGGGTGAGTGGAGGGGAGTCAGAGGGGTCAGCAGGTAGGGGAGGAGTGGGGATAAGATTTGAACCCAGGCATACTGACTGGACTCTACAGGCCCCCCTTGGGAGGCAGCCTGAACAGCTCCCCTCAAAACCCACCTTGCCCTCTGGGACCCAGTATGGTGATCCCAGGTCCAGCCTGGTTCCCTGGATTTCTCTCCTCCATCTCTCTGACCCCTAGGCCAGACCTGATGCTCCTTCAGGAAGCCTTTCCATCCCTCCAGGCCTCAAAGGCCTCCCCTCCCTGACCATCCTGCACAGACTCTTGGCACCCACCACCGTGACCCTCAATCAAATTGTAAATTGTGGAGATGGAAAGAGCACGGGCTCTAAAGAGCTGGCTCTGCCACTCAACATGTCACTTGGCCCCTCTGAGCCTTGGTCTCCTTGCTGTAAATGGGAATAACAGCCCTTCCCTCGGAGGGAGGCTGTTAAATGAGCCGAAGGGCTTCAAGTGGCACACAGTAGGTGCATAATGAGGGCTGGCTCACTGGGCTGTGGGCTCCCTCAGGGCAGGAATAGCCTGAGCTGTCTCTATGTCCCCTGGTCCTAGCATCACGCTGGCCACAAGGTGGTGGTCACCTATGGCGTGAGGGACAGAAGGAGGTATGGATGTGAGACAGGGCGACAGAGGGGTGCTCAGGGCCACCAGTGGGCAGGACCATCATGTAAGCCCCAGACTTACCCTCAGGGAGCAGGAGAAAAGCTGAGTGGGCTGGGGCTTGGGGAGCAGCTGGCTCCTAGGGTAGGCATCAGGAGGAGTGTGCTGGAGGCTGCCCAAGGAGGGACCAGACAGGGCGAGCAGCTGGGGCAGGAGTGGCCCCTGGCTGTGGATGGGGTAGGATGCTGATTCCTGCCCCAGGGGATGGAGGCTGAGGTCGGAGCTGCTGCGATGGAGAATCCTGGAGGCTCCATCCCAGAGGTTGCTGCATTTCCTTCCATTCTTACCCTAACCCTCCAGAAACAGGAGCCCCTCTGTAGCAATCTGGGCAATTGTGGGTCAATTTCCCTGAAGGCCAGTCCTTCT